GTGTAGAGGATTGGAGCGTTTATAGTTGCAATTTTTCTGCCCCAAAACCTCTTCAAATGAAGACGGTTCAAAGAACCTATCAAGCATACCCCCTTTTTACCCTAAATTAATACAGTAAAATAACATACAGTGTTTAGACAGCGTGAAGAGCCAGAAATTGAACAGAACTCACACCACGTCACAGTGTAACCAGCATTAAATCCAAAGCTGTTGGAAAACACATATGTCTTCAGGCATGTATGAAACACTGACAAGATGAGGGAAGTTTAATTTCTTGTGGCAGGGAAGGAGTTCCACATCCAGACAGAGCCCTCTTTTCTGCTTTGCAGTCCTTCAGGGTTGGGACTTTTCTTCACCACAATCTGCTCTTGAATGCAGGTGTCTAAAATGAAACTGTATAAAGCCTTTATTTGGTTTTTTTTAAGTATTGCAGGTTCAAAGACTGATAAGCATGTTCTAAGACCAAAACCAAGAAGCACACAGTCTGGATCAGGTTATCCATAGGCCTTATTTGACTTCTCGCATTCCATGTTTCTGCATTGATTTGCAGTTCCTTTCATTAGGGAGATGGTTAAAGTATCAGCTCCATCTGCTGGCAGTTGAAGTAACAATACAGTTCATTTCTGTGCCTTTTTGAACTGTGCATTCTCTTCTGTGCATTTTGTTCAGTTAATGATGATGCCAGGTGGTACTGCAATTTGCATAAACTGGTGTGTGTAAGAGAATATATTTGATAAGAACAACTGAGGTTGAAAGACAAGAAGCATCTGCTTGTAAAATAAAGCCAGTGTTGTCTAGTGATTAAGAGTGCAGGGCTGAAACTCAGGAGATCTGGGTTCTAGTTCCTACTTTGCCATGGAGCTCACTGGGTGCCTTTAGGCCAGTCACAAGCTTTCAGTCGAGGTTATCTCACTGGGTAGTTGTGAGGGTAAGACTGAAAGGAGGAAAAGAATTGTGTAAGCTGCTTTTGGGTTCCTTGGTAGGAAAAAGGGCAGGATATAGCATTTCTTTCTAATTTTAAAACCAGAACTGTTGGCTATAAGCAATGATTTTGCTCTAATTAATGCAAAGCTTCTGCTACTTGTGGAAGCTCCTTGCACAAGGGTCAAACCCAATAGTCTGATTTTACTTGTGCAGGTTGTTTCAGAATTTATTACAACTTCACTGAGCTAGGTGTGGGCTTGCTGTAGTTGTTCCACTAGCACTTGCCTGATGGTTAGGACTTGCCTGATGGTTAGGACTGCTAGGAATTGTAGTCTAAAACATCTGGAGAGGACCAGGTGGGGAAACCCTGTACTGACACTTGCACAAACTCTAGCAAAACAACACGTTCCCTTGTATCATTTTCTATTAACGTAATTTTGGATAGAGCCCTTTTTCCCTGCAATTATTGTGAATGACCAGAACAAGCATTTCAAGGAGCTGAACATTAAAATACAGAAATCATATACCCAATTGCTAAACCACAGCAATTGGAGAGCATACTGTGATCTAACTCTTTTTCCTCTGTATGTTATATCACAATGTAATCTGTAGTTTCAGTGGTTTAAGAATTAGTCCTTTTATCTGAACAGTTTGTGCTAATGGAATGTTGTGACCAGACTTGTTTCCACAATCACTGCTTCTTCCCTGGAGGCAGAAGTGCTCCGGCAGTAGGAGATGAATATTGTATGGCCTGAAGGTTGTACTCCTATAAATGCATTCTGTGATGGGCTCAGCAAACTTTGATTATTGCGTGGTATGGAAGTGTAAATAGGAATTATCTATTCACCCTATTTGCAAACACAGATAAATATAACTTCTCCAGCAATAGGAACACAGACATACATGAACAAGTATCTCAAAGAAGGTACTTAGGCTTGGTGATGGACCAACACTAGCATGCATCATAATTCTGCTAGTCATTTTGGCAGCAATCAGAAGGTCATGGACACAGCAAAAATGGTGTTTAAAGGCATTTCTCTAAATATAATGATCCCATTTTCTGTTGCCAAAAATGCAAATACCAGCAACAGACTGTGCTGATGAAGCTATTAGGTCACATCTGGGGCCGCCTCTCTTATCCTTCAATCTAATTTTCTAACAGTTGACTGGGAATACAGGCTGCAAGCATTGCTTTGCTGTGCAGCTCTCAGCACTGCCTGAGCAAGGATTAGCATGGTGGTGTTTTTTGTGCGACCTGGTTTGATCCTCTGTTACACTGCAAAGCAGACATTCTGTCTGGGTCAACAGAAGACACACTGTGCACCTGCATGTGTGTGTGCATGCTACATATTCTTCTTCAGGTGAAACTAGATTTCCACAGACTGCAGCGACGAAACTACGCCTGTAGAAATTCTAGTATATTTAGTTCAGACTTCAGTGAGCACATGCTGGCTAAAGTGCTGTTCTCTTCAGTCTCACTAGAATCAGTAATTAATTTTAATGGGGCCAATGCCACAATTTTTCTTCAGTCATATCTTTATTTGTGTTGTTCCACTGATGTTGCCCCACCTCTCCAAATAAGCAAAAGGCATAGATGGTTAACTTTACAACAAATTTCCTATGCAAACAAAATGGTAAACAAAAAACATGCCTTCACTGTATAAAGTACTTTCTTTTGGCTTACGGAGCCCTAAGAATACCAATAGTCATTTAACTGTGCACCATTTGTGTGGAGTTGTGTGTGCACAGGATAGACCACAGGTATCCTACCTTTTTGCTGGAAGAGTGTTGCCGAAAATAAACATTGTATATTCCTTTCATTATCTCTCTCTAGCAGGTAGCATACACAGAGAAAAAAGAGCTAAAAATTCAGTCAATCTGCTTTGTTGGTAAGGAATTAATTGAGAAAATGAAAGGGAGGGTATTTATGGTAGCTGAATCACTAAAATAGCATTGCCATGTTTCTGAAAGACATACTTTAAAAATCATTAGGTGCTTGGGCTTTGGAGATGGTTGGTAATTGTTGGATGCAAGCTAATTTAATTGAAGTTATGGATCCAATCCAAATAAGTATCGCACAATTTCCACTTACTAATTTTAACATGAATATTATAAACTGGAAATTGTCAGGCATTTACTTTAATTGTTAATAATTAGTGAGCAGTTATAGAAAAAGATCTTGTTTCTGACATTTATAGTAGCACGTGTCTGTGCCTCCACTCTAGGCCCTGCCCCTACTAGTTCATAGATGACTTTTTCTCCAGAAACTCTGAGTGGTGTGTTTCCTCATTCTTTATTAGGAGGCAGAAATAATAGATGTGTCCTTAGCATTTCCTAAGGGCAACCGAATGTTCATGTATGTATGTATGTATGTATGTATGTATTTATTTAATTTAAAAATACCTTTCCATTCTAAGTGAAGACCTTTCTATTCTCCCAGGCATTTAAGAACCATTTTGTTTCCTTTCTATTCATTTGTTTTTTAATCAATGCATAGGGTGCTAGATTTAAAATCACATTTCAAGCCACTTAAGAACATAAAGTTTTAAAATGCAAAACAACAAGCATTAAATCTGCCCAAAGCCTAGGAGAATGGGGTGATAGTAAATAAATGAGCAAAACAATTTAGAACTTGCCCTGTTTTATTCTTGCCGCTGGTTTTATTTTATTCTTCCTAAGCAATGCTGGTTTTACCCCTTGCTGTTGGGCTTATTCTGATCTTACTGTGTGCTGTTTTTATCACTGCTTTTTATTTTGCAGTTTGTAGTTTACCTGTACACTGTCCAAAAGATTCTGATTATTAGGTAATTTACAAGGGTAATAAATTAAATAAAAAGTGGGGATTGGGACGCTTACACATGTATAAGATTTACTTTTTGCACCCTAAGCATGCGCCTTAATTGTGCTACTTAAATCACTGGGATACCCATCCACCCGGCCATCCCAATCCAGTGGAAATGAACTCTTGCCTACTTCCCCACTTACTTTTTGTACAGTTTTAAATGATGTCATAGGAAGCAACAGAGCTTGGGGAGCAATTTACCTTTGTGAGAAGAGATTCCAACACGTCAGCTAGGGAGGGAGAAGAGGAAGAACAACTGCTGTCTAGGCACATGTCTAGTTATATATATATGATATTTTTAGAATGTTTTTGTACTAGGGAAAATAAATATTAAAGTGAGATTGCAACCAGATCTACCCATCTTTGGAACCACGCACACTTTTTCTTTGGTAGCATTGCTAATTAGATTCTGTGTAAGTGTAACTCAGGTTAGCACACAATATTAGTCTGAGTTTGCATTAAGCCAAATATTGAAGGAACTGTGTGGCTTCACGGGGCTTTGTTCAATTCTGTGTATTAGACATACATACATACATACATACATTTATTTGTTTGTTTGTTTGTTTGTTTGTTTATTTATTTATTTAGATATTTTTATGCTTAATTTAGTAATAGACGGTCAACAGATGACATGAAAGAGTTTAAATTATGACTGTCTCAGAACAGTTCTGCCTTTGGTACTGAGTCGCTATGTGCTTAATCCTATTGTTATGTGCAAATGTGTGCATTAGAGCCCTGGCACAAAAGGGCACATAAGGTAGTTTACAGATAAAATCTAAAATTAATTAAAACAATGAAATACACTAAAGTGCCATAAAAGCAAACAGTTGCAGAATAAAAATAGAAACAGCATCCAAACCAGCATAGCCACTTAAAGGCCAAAAGTCTTTGCTTGTTGCTGGAAGACCAGCAGAAAAAGAGCCAAGCTAACTTCTCTGGGGAAGGAGACCAGCAGCCTTAGGTCTTCTGTAAGCTTGCAAGCAAGTGCCAGCATGTGGAACATGCAGCTAAGTTCTGCGTACCTGAATTAGTGTAACACAGTGGCTCATTCCCTCCACTCTTATTTCTGCAATGAATGTGTACTTTGAACAAGATCTCTCATATTTTATGGTCATGAATGAATTTCTGCTTAGAATTAGGATGAATGTGGTATCCTGGAATACTGCTTAGGCTCTTGGTGTGTGATGCCACAAAGGGACTGCTTATCCATTTTCAATTTTTATTTTCTTCATAGGTGGAAAGACATGACATGAATACTCTCAGTTTGCCTCTTAATATTCGCCGAGGAGGTTCAGATACTAACCTCAACTTTGATGTTCCCGATGGTGTGTTTGAGTTTCATAAAGTAAAACTCAGTGCAGACAGTTTAAAACAAAAGATTCTGAAAGTTACAGAGCAGATAAAAATAGAACAAACAGTTAGGGATGGGAATGTGGCAGAGTACTTGAAGCTGGTGAACAGTGCAGACAAACAGCAAGCTGGGCGTATTAAACAAGTGTTTGAAAAGAAGAACCAAAAGTCTGCCCATTCTATAGCCCAGTTGCAGAAGAAATTAGAACAGTATCACAAAAAGCTCAAGGACATTGAACAGAATGGTTCCTCTAAAACTACTAAGGATACATCCAAAGACAATCTGAGGGAAATCCAACACACACTAAAGGATGCCCATGGAAAATCTCGTACTACTGGCCACAGCAATGAGAACAGCAAAACAGGTGTTCCTGGTGTTTCCTTGACACCACCGGTGTTTGTTTTCAGCAAATCCAGAGAGTTTGCAAACTTGATTCGGAATAAATTTGGTAGTGCTGACAATATTGCTCATTTAAAGAGCAGTTTGGATGACTTCAGGCCAGAAACTACTTCTAGAGCATATGGTGGCAGTGCCACTATAGTGGCCAAGCCAAAATACACCAGTGATGATGAATGCTCAAGTGGAACATCTGGCTCTGCAGACAGTAATGGAAACCAGTCCTTTGGCCATGGAGGGACAAATGCTCTGGACAGCCATGGAAAACTTTCTATGCTATTGGAAGAGCTGCGGGAAATAAAGGAAGCACAATCCCAATTAGCAGAAGACATTGCAAGTTTAAAAGTCCAGTTCAAAGCAGAATATGGATTTATTTCTCAAACACTGCAGGAAGAAAGATACAGGTATGTCCTTTTGATATTCCATTGAAATTGTTTTGCACTGATATTTGAGAAAGTAGATGGGTCAAAGCAGTTCAACAAAGAGAAGAGCGAACTGAAATCTGATTTTAGCTATCAGCATAAAGTCACAGATCCATTTTTTTCTGAGTTTCAGCAATAAGTCTTCATTGACTAGCTTCAGAAAACATGCTGCAGCTCATCATGGGTTATTTAAACAATGATGAACTTCAGCATCCATAGGCACCAGAGTGAATATGAAACCCATAGTTCAAACTCTGGTTCTTGTGCAATGACAAGCGGTGGTTTAATTAACTGTAGTTTGTTGAATTGAGGGTTGATATAATGTATGAACCTGGAATGATGGATTAACCACAGATTTAATTAAAAGGAGACATGGCTTACTGTTGAGTTGTGAAGTATGGGTTGTTTAAACCATGGATTATCATTACATGCAAACTCAGAATTGTGGGTTGTTTATAGGCTGCTTTACCAGGCTACAAAAACAGCACATAGCAGTAAAAAGATCCAACACTAATTACAGGCCAGTATTGCAGTGATACAAAGGTAGTTGGGATAAAGGGAGAGGAGGGGAAAAGGGGAGTGAAGCAGACACCCCAGGGACTGAGAAAACAAGACATGGTTTGTTCATTTGTCTGCCAGACAAACCTTGAATAGAAAAACAAACTATAGTTTAACTATGCTTGATGTTACATGTTAACTAGGCCACTGTGATTATTGTTTTCAAACACAGTGATTACCTGTCTGTAATAGATACCTGTTGCATTGACTCTGGACAGTGAGAGATGCAATATATTTAACATACAAACTGCTGTTGTTACTATTACTACTTCTCCTCCTCCTCTCCTCTTTTTGCAGGTACGCGTGTTTTACATATATCCATTAAATTGTAATGATTTTTGGCTGCATCAACTGTTCACACACATGTACAAGGGAAATTGGCCATGGTTTCCTTCCATATTCATTATTAGGTGGATGCATAAAACATACTGTAGGTTTCCAAATATCTCAGAGTCAGCAGTCTTGTCCTATGAGCACTCATAGAAAAAAATTAAATCTTCTGTGAAGATCCAAGTTATTATCCATAACTATATGCAAAAACAAACAAACAAACAAAACTTGTAGAAACTAAAGTGTTGATTGGGGGAAAAAAAGTAAAACACATTTATTTTCAAAGATCTATTATATACACAGAACAGCTTATTTCTCTAAGCATAGAAAATTTTGGCTCAGGATTTCAGCTCTGGGAAGAGGTAGTTCTTTTGCTAAGAGAAGGTAGTAACAACATACAAATTAGAATGCATACATTTTAATTTGTTAATTAATTATGAGAATCTATTTTAAGAAATATTTTTGTTGTTATGAAGATATGAGCGATTAGAAGACCAGCTGAATGATCTAACAGACCTCCATCAGCATGAAACAGCCAACTTGAAACAAGAACTAGCGAGCATTGAAGAAAAAGTAGCATATCAGGCCTATGAACGGTCACGAGATGTTCAGGTACCAGTCTTAAATATTAAATAACAGAGTGTTGTTATATTTTTGCACGGTATTAGCCACTGTGGTCCATTGAGTATACCTTCCACTCTGAGGCCTTAAAGACTTGAGTTCAAATTTAAGAACAGCTTTAGACATGTGCAGATACAGGGGAACAGGAAGTACCTTGTACTTCTCAATCTTTGATTTTTTTCCAGCCTGTGCAAAATTGAACTGTTGCATCTCCCCTTCCAGAGAAATTATTTCTAGAGAAGTAATTATTATAGTCTGTTGCAGCAAAATATGAACATTTTAAAGCATCCAAAAATAAATTCATGTATGGGATACATTTTTATGAAATGGTATCCACTTTATCAGATTCATAAAGTGTTAGATTAGGCCAAGTTGCAGGTGTTTATGTGGTGGATGGGGAGCAGAGGAGTTGCAGAGATGAGGGTGATCCACATAAATTAGGTAGGAATGGAAATCTATTACTTGTATAAAAGCCATTTTCTTTTTTCTTTTTATTTTCTCCCCAATCCCTTTTATGCTATTTTCTGCCAATAGGAAGCACTGGAATCTTGCCAGACACGGGTGTCTAAGCTGGAGCTCCACCAGCAGGAACAGCAAGCACTGCAGTCGGAAACTGTTAATGCCAAAGTCCTACTGGGAAAATGTATAAATGTAGTCTTGGCCTTCATGACAGTCATTCTAGTGTGTGTTTCCACAATAGCAAAATTCGTAGCTCCTATGATGAAAAGCCGTTTCCATATTATTTGCACCTTTTTTGCAGTAACTCTTCTTGCAATTTTATGCAAAAACTGGGATCAAGTTGTCTGTGCCATAGAAAAGATGATCATGCCAAGATGAATCAACAACACCAGAGCCTTTCTAGTACTTCTAAACAAACTACCAAATCTTTAATTTTGCAGCTTAACTGCAAAGATTAATGAAGACTTTTTCCTACTAAGTATAAATATGTTAAGACTGATAACTCTTAGCAGTGCTTTCACCTGATCAGTCATGCTGTATGGAATAAGGTGATCCTATTATTATTTAGTAACCTGTGTAAATCTTTTTGCCTTAATCCAATCATGTTTTCTACACCTCTGATCTCCTGATGATCATGTCTTAAATAACTGATATTGACTAGACTTGGGTGTAGGAGGATATCATAAAGATAGGTAAGTTACAACAATCCTATTTGGGAGACTGCATTTTAATAAATGGGAATCTAATCATCCTACCTTTACACAATAACTATTCTTGCCCTTATGAAGCAATGCAAAAGGTGAGATAAACATACTCCCAGACGTGGCAACCCCATTTCCTCTTTTTCCTAGTGATCAACATTCAAAAGTGAGAAACTGTGGAGTTTAATAACACTTTTGTACACAATTAACTGAGACCCTTCCTAGAATTTTTGTTTGCTCTATAAATTAATATTGAATTCCACCTTGATTTTGTTGCATAAGCTTGGAAAATATAAATGGCTGATCCAATTTTTGAATGAATAATGATCTGTGAAAGCATCATCCAAATAAGGGTATCGGTACTTGGCAGGGGATTTCTGTGGTCCAACAAGATTCCTTTTTGCCAGAAATGTAGAAAAATGGGAGAAGGTGTCCTTGTTCCTTCAGAAGCTGGAAGAAGGGCTGGTCCCCCAGCCTAATTTCAGTAGCTTTTTGTAAATGACCTGTTCAGACCTCTGCCAAGCAATCTGTTCCTTCCCTGGCAGCCATCCGGGCAGGAAAAGGGAGAAATGGGGTGCCCCCTTTAATTTCTTCTGAGTCCCGGATACTGCCCTCACAACAATGTGGCCTTTACAGCATCCCTGCTCCAGAGGCTGTCTTGATGGTCTAGTGGCTGGCGTCACAAAGAACAGTGAGAAGCAGGATGCACAGAGAAACAAAATGGGCCAAACTCTTCTCGAGTTTGTTTTCACTTTTCATATCAAATACTTTTCAACCATTCAGATGCACATATTGTGCACTCCCTTTTGCCCCTTTCCCTCTTTATGTTTTGTACCCCCCAGCATATCCCTACCAACCTATCTGTCCACCTCTGAAGCTGAGCAGTGCTGCTCTCCTGCCAACATTTAGCTATAGCAGGGTAATATTCTCAGATCAGCCTACAAGAACACCGTTATCACTGTGAAGTTGCTATTGAAAGAAAACTTCATGTATATGATATTTGGATAATTGGGTAGGAGGTGAAAAGGTGGGAGATACAATGGTGTTTCTCCCCGCCACCTGCCACCCCTGTTTCAGACTATTTTAGTAGGAGAAAGTCCTGTTGAGCTGGACTCCTAGGACAATTCTGGATGGAGGGCTTCTGCTTGTGAATGGAAATGGCTAACACTGCACTGTTGCCAGCACGCTACTGCAAAAACCTTGCCCATCATGGAAGGATCAGGGTCAGTGTTCGGTTAGCGATCTGAACGCTAGGAAAACAGCGGTGGAAGCACTTGCAAGAATTCTGTTTTGATGCACACTGAAGGCTTAATAAAAACTGTGCAGCCCTCCTGGGGAAAGTCCTGAATCTAGAAAGATCCCTTGAGAGCTGACAAAATTTCAGGAACTAATATAACAGCATTGTTATGATGTAAATACTGGTAACATAAGCACTTTAATATGGTTTAAAATCAATATGTGCAATGTTTTTCTTTAAAAAGTCAGAACTGTACTTGTTGATGGCACCAACAACAGAAACAAGATAGGAATCATTGTGAACTATTTCAGGAATCCAGTGGAGACAATATGAGTACTTTTTAAAAACTTTCCACATTTAGTTACTCACTGAACCCTGTGTAACTTTGTAAAACCTCTCTGTAATTGTCAGGCATAATATTTAAGCAAATCTGCCAGTAAAGTAATATTTCCTTTCCCTGCATTGAGTCTTAATTATACAGATGCTTTGCATAAGGAGCAAAGAACTCCAAAGTAGCTCAACAAGGAGGGGACCACACTGGGTGCCTCAATCTGTGTTGTGTCTAATGGTTTATTCCTTTGAAATTCTTGTTTTCAAGTATGATTGTCACCATGGACTGTTTTCTATATTTGTTACCTAGGAGTTTGTCTCTTAATCATAATTTGCATCATAATGTATCTTGACCATGGCTAAATTGTTCTCAGATCTGCATGAACAACTATTAGTTATTGTAACATGCACTGTTGTCTGAGGAGTAATATGCAAACAGTTTGTTTTTTCCAGCTCATGAAGTCCCTTCTGGGTAAAGATGCTTGTTTCCCCAGGATTTATTCCTGAATTCGCATATCCCTTCCCTTCAAAGGATTTCCCTTGTTTTGATTACAAGGCCTTGTGACGCATCCTTTAAACATTTTGCTTTTCCTTTGGTTAAACAGTGCTCCCACGTTTTAGTGAAATCAGTGACACTGTAAACATTCAAACAGAGATGTTTGAGACCCTCAACCAGTAATTGTGCTCCAGATTCAGAAATCTTTATCTGCATGCATCTATTACATAAGGCAATTTGCCCCTTTAAATGCTATTTTTAAACTGCTGGTGGTTCTCTTAGAAAGTGTCTAATTCTGGTTCTAGATTAATAACTTTTTTAAAACCAAGGACGCTCCCTCAGGTGCAACACCAATATTTTTTCCTAATATTTTTTTAACCTGTCTGTGAATGGTAATCTCTTGTTTCTACTGTTTTACCTGTACAGTACTACAGGCTGGCATATCTGAAGTTTTTGGGGAAATGTTTTACAAAATGTGGAATTCTCTTGTTATCAGCTTTAATCTTTTAAAGAAGGTGGGACTTTATACTGTTTCCTGTATCTTATAAATTATCTTGCAAACCTACAAGTACTTCTGCTGTAAATCACCATTCATTTCTATGGGGCTTACACTTGAATCTTCAACAAATGGATAATGGCACTTGTGCAGCCAGACTTGAACGTATGCAGAAGGCAGGCTCCAGTGAGTTGTTTTTTTTTTTTTCCAATTCACATATTCAAAGGACTAATTCCAAAAGTTATCCCAGTGGATGGGAAATTATTTATCATAACTGGCTATTGGTTTTCTTGAAATCTTAGATGAACTGGCATTGCCTCATTTTGCCAGTCCTAACCCAATTTAGCACTAAACTTCTAACTGAAATCCACAACCAAATGCTGTATTTTTGTTTGGATTTTGATCCAACTTTCAGTATCTGCCAAACTGCACAGCAGGAAAAAATATTCCAAGACATCTATTATGTCTTTAGTTGTATCAAGATTTGGCTCAGAAGAAATTAACCTTCAATATTTCTCCCAAGTAGCTTGGTACACTGCCAATATTTCTGTGTCAGATGTAGTTCACTCAGTCATTACTGTCATGTAATGCAAATAAATGATTAGCTTAGAATCTAAATAATGAAACAGTAGACATTGGCAGTGCAGAACAGACATAGCATGCTAAAAGCATTTAAGTTTGTATGCAACCAAAAACATATCACTAGAAATAAGCTAGAATTACTTTGCTAATTTTTGTGTACATACACAACATTTCAGCACTTACTGGCATTGCATAGACTTGGTCCAGGCATTAAACAAAGGTGCACAAAAGTGTTAGGTCTAAACTTACTACCATATTTCACAAAAACCTAAGGCCACAACTTAAAAATTATTAACTGCAGTAGCCCTGGGTTCAATTTATTTTAGCATTCGCCAGCCTGGCATTTCCAGGGTTGTTGAACTGAATTTCTCACAATTCCAGCCATAGTGGCCACTGAAGGTAAAAACTGAAGTTCAGTACAATATAAGGATACCAGTTTGGGGGAAGCGGGTTTGTTGCAATGAGGATTATGCATTTTAGCACACAATATAAAGTCTGAGTGTGTTCCAAATGCAGGAAAATGAATCGCAATAACTGAGTCTGAGAGAAGGCACTGCAGGAGTTAAGACCCATAAGACTGGATGCAGGGATAATTCTTATTAAATACCAGGTTTCCAACTTTGCAACCCAGGTTACAGGAATAAGGGGGAAGTGGGAACTGAGGCAAGATTCATGCTAAGTACAGTTTGTAAGTAGATGCTGGGAACAGCCATAGCTAATACTGACCCTACCAAGGTTAAGAAGAATAACATCTGAAGATGGAGAGGACAAGGCACTGGAGTCCTTTGTCTGTTTCTTGAGACTCTCCAGCCACTGAAGCTCATGGAGCAGAGAAAGCCCCATTTGCCTACCTTCCCAACTCTACCCTTTGATGGGTAGCAGCTTATATTTCATAATGTTCTAAGAAAAGGCACATGTGAATGAAGTATTCATAATATTGCTGGATTTGTTGCAAAATTTTGGCCTGCTGCCTTTGGCCTGTGCAATTGACAATCCTCCTCGCATCAAAGTAATTGCATGTAATCCAGTCTATTCCAATGGAATTAAAAATTGGTTGAAACCCATGTACTTTGACTTACACCTATACTTATGCTAATTTATATATTTATCGGAAGACAGTATCAAGTCTTTCCTCCTCCAGTCATAACCGGTTTGTGAATCAGGTTGCCTCTTGTTCTTTTTGAAAAAGCAAAACACAAAGTTATTTTCTCAGTGTTAAAGTGAAAATGAAAGTAGTACCATCTACATATTATGTATTTGCTTGGTGGCGGTGTTGTTCTAATCATTACAGGCACAACAATCCATACAGCTACATCACTCTGGAGGACATGCTTGTACATGTCAAAAGTCCTCAGAAAACATCTGAGGAACCTAACTGAAAGACCTTCGTCTGTTCTGTTTGTCAGTGAAGAGCATACTCGTTTGGAATACGGTAGCACCTTTTCTGAATATGTTCCCTTTGCACTCACTTTGTGACCTCATGTTAGCTTTAATAAACTACTGTTTGCAAACCTGCATGTGTTTGCATCCTTATACTGTTTTTAGGTGTACATGTAAAAATGTACTGTTCAGAGCTAGTTTGAGTGAAAAGATTGAGGCAAACTTCTCCATCTTCCAACTGCTATACACTTACTCCACAAAAGTCACTCCATGAGTAATAGCTGATTGTTCGAATTCTCCATTCATAAGAGTACATCTCATCATCTCTGTCTGTCTGTCTGTCTGTCTGTCTGTCTGTCTGTCTTTCTGTCCAGGGAGAGGGGTTATATAGTGTCTTACTGTGCAATTCAATGGTGCTTTTACTTTAAATTCTCAAGTATAGTCACTACTGCTTCATTACAGAACATGTTTATATTTAGTTTTAACTCACCAGGCATCTGCAGTTTTAAGTTTAAATGCATTTATGTATTTCATCAGGCTGTGTTTGTTTATCTGCTTCTTAGAAAGAGACCATTCACAGTAATAACTATAACACATACCAGTGTCCACCTGATTTTCAGTGAGATTTGACTATAGAATGAGGATGTACAAAGTTGAACTAAGCAAGCAGCATGTTTACAGAACTGTACAAATACAGGTTTAGAATCTTAGTATGAATTTTGAAGACACTGTACATATGTTTGCATGGTTGAGCTGTTTTGTAAAATTTTAATTTATTGCATATATTTGACAGATTAATTTGTACCCCTGCCTGTTTTTCCTTCCTCTTGTTTTTGTATAGTACTGCCAACTGGGCACTGTGAAAATGTTTATTTAAAAGTCTACTGAACCATTTGCACCAAACGGAAAATTTGTGTCTGTGAATGTAACAAACAGTGTAACCATGCCATTTTCATTTTGTGTGGCACTGTGCAAATAAAAATGTACTAGTATTCATTTACTGTGTTCCATAGATTTCATAGGATGATTATGACTGACCCAAGGAGCCATTGACTTTTTTTAAATAAAGGTTTTTTAAATTTAATTGGTATTATGTTCAGTTTATTGAAAATATCTCCTGGCGGAACTGAGATTTTCCGAAAGCCAGTGTGGCATAATGGCTAGGGTGCTGAACTGGGACTCAGAAGACCTAGGTTTGTATCTCCTCGCAGCCGTGATACTCACTGGATGACTTTGGGCCAGTCATGAACTCTCAGGCTCACAGGGCTGTTGTGAGGATAAAATGGAGAATGTTGCTAGCCACCTTAGGATCTCTGCATGAGGAAGAAAACGGGAATAAATGTCATGTAGTAATAACAACAACCAAGTCTTTCTCATGAGAATAACTGCTAAGAACACTAAGAAACAGATATATGTAGGCAAGTAGATATTCTTGGGCTGAAATTCCATGCATGCTTACTTGTGATCAGGACACATTAACTCTTTGGCATTTACGGCAGTATACAATTATGTCATTCTATTAATGCAAATTAGGTTGTTCTAGTGTGAGGAACATCTAGTGCAACTGCCTGACTTATCTCTGGGTTCACTGGCCTTGGCAATTCAGCTGTAGATTTTGGCCACTTTTCCTCTTCTGAATCAGAATCTGATTCAACAAACTTTGAAGACTTCATTGTAGGAGGAAGGGGGCTAAGTCCTACCTACTATTCAGTAGGCAAGGGACCTCTACAAGAGGGTAAATGCCCCTCTACAAGAGGGGTCAAGCCACCCTTGGTGAACTAGCTTTGAGAACCCTAGAGAAGTAATTCACCTATAGGGAGTACAGTGAACCCCATTTCCCCCTCTCTAATTCCATGCCCTCATATTATACTTTTTAACACCATGAGTTTGGCACCAGCCTTTTTGGTGGCCCCAAAACTGCTGCCAACTGCTGCCACCACACCACCACATTTCAGCAACATGGTGGTAACAAAAAGCCACATTTTTCCCTTTAAAACAAGGTACATGAGAACATTCTTAACAGTTACCTGTACTACCTCAGGCAAGACGTAATTTACATTTTGGTTCCTTTCACCACCCTGATTTGGATCTTCTCATGTCTACCTGATTCCTACTTGGTCAGTCAGAGTTAGTTAGCCTTCTGTATCATCCACATGCTGTTCCATTTTGCTTCATTTCCCCATCTGTTGCTTCCTCTCTAGGTTTAGTAAAATAATTGTCAGTCCACTTTAAATAGTACATATATAGAGATACATGCTGTGCCTATTTCTGTTTAAACTGTGTCTGAATACTGGCCTGTTGTTTATGTATCTCCCTGCTAAAGGCATCCATTTCATTGTTGCCTGTTAGGACCTGAGGTTAATAATCCCAACATGTGTCACTCAGGTATAGCTATGTATTGTCTATTTAATGTAAATAGGGACATTTAGTAACATGTGGTACAAATACTTTGCATGGAAGCTGATCTATAGCTTCTCTATTGCTAATGTAGAAATATAAATATTGCTTTCTTCATGGAAGCCTTGATTAAAATTTAAAACTGCAAGCCAGTAGGATGAAATTCATGTGTGAAAAAACAGAAATGGAATCTTAAATGTACTTGCATCCATTTCTGAACTTAAATGATAGTCAGGAAAGTGGATTTTCAATATTTTAATGATCCTGCAGTTTTCATGTCATCTGAGAAGAGATGCATTCTTTCTAACCAGTATGTCCCTTAAAGGCTTGTTACATTTGAGAATGGTGCTTGCCCCATTTTCTAAATCTTTCTAATATACTATGTCTGATTGCTATTAACAGGAAGAGAAAGGAGGTGAAGTTCTTATGTGATTTTTAGATGAGTATTGAAAGCAGCTTTTTGTAAAGAAGTGCCGGTTAAGTGCCAGGACAATGAAGATGGAATAATGGTAAATATATCAGAGCCGGGGTCACAAGGAATGGCAAAACTTTATCCTAAATTGATGACTCACTGTTTTTAAAACTACTATCAGTTTCTGGTGATTAACCTATTATGTTATTTCTACTATCTCGGTTGAGACTTCACGAGAACCCACATTCAAGTATTGTTCGTCATTGAATCATCAGTTGCTAAAAAATAGGTTACCGTGTTGTCTGAACCCAGCTCCACTAACAAACTATACTTGTTATCCATGAACGACTGATGAAAAGAACTCATGAGGGCTGTTAACACACAACACTAATGAATACCTCAAGGTTACCTTTCTGTCTTTGTGTCCTGTAGCCACACATTTGCCGGTTAGCGACCCATGGTCACCACTCCTGCTGCATGGCCTGCCTCTCTCCTATTGGCCTGCACACTCCATTAGCTCAGGGGCCAGTTATCTGTAGGTTTCCATAGTTCACTTAAAAATACAAAGAAATAAGTGATTTTTGAAAGGGCAGTGTTGGGGGTTTCAATTCTTTGCTGACATTTCTGAGAAATGGTTTCTTCCATGTAGCCACTCAAAACACATTGGTTCCCACTATCACTACAACAGTTTGCCGTTTGGGAAAACATAACCACAGCACTACCCTTCCCCATATCTGTGGATATAGTACCCTCTAGAGGTAGTTGTTCTAATTACAAAGGTATTTGTTCTGCTTCCTTGATTAATATAATACTGTTCTACTTTTTATGAGATCTGAAAACAAAAGTCATGCCATGTATTGGATTTTTTTTCCTGAGAACTAGTTCTTTATTGCTTAAAAGCAGGAAGACACTACAGAACAAAAGCAGCTTTCAAGAACTCTGCAATGAAAAGCAAAAGCAGACAGCTGCAGATCTTTCCACGAACTGCAGATTATCTTGAATGCCTGCACACCTCTTCCATTCCATCTCGGGATTCTGCATATGCAGACTTCACCAGCAATTCAGATTTTTCTCATTCCCTTATTTTTCTCCATCTTCTCCACTTTTTATAATATCTTGTATAGGGAGGCCATGTGTGTGTGTTGTTGTTGTTGTTTACAGAGACCAGTCCTCTATTGAGAGTTATTTTGTTCTTCCTTTTGAATAGCTGTCCTGTCTATCTGCAGTTTAAAGACAAATACTTGTCACCTACTCAGTCTTCTGCACCAGTTGAGGTGCCCTGGATTTCACTTAAATTATGTCTAAATATGGATTTGTTATAGCAATTAGCATATGAACATTTTATGTAAATATGTCCTCTTCTTCGGTGTTTTGCATTTTCTCCCGCCACGCTTCGGTGCTTTGCATTTCCCCTTTTTAGCAAGTCATAAGCGGCCACTTTTATGAAGATGTCTGGAGATCTCAAAATGTTACCCATGTGAACTTCTGATTGGCCCAGTACAGGTCTTGGATCAATGTGGATACTTAATTTTATATTATAAAAAACAGGAAAATGCCAAGTTTTTGCTTCTTTTAAAGCATCGTGTAATCTGCACTTGAACATCAACACAGAGGGAGCACAATCTGTGGTATTAACTTGTCCACTCAGATAAAGTATTCTGCTGCTAGCAATCCGTTCTTGTAGAACACCAGAACTATCTCCCTGCATCAGATCAAAACCTCATCATTTTGGATAAGCAACCAATTATTCGTGCGACCACGGTAACCCCGCATCTGATAGCTTGTTGTACAAAGATACCTGTTTGTCTTTCCCTCCAAGTTTGTCCGCAGAGTACTTATACAGAACGTAATATGCACCCTATGGACAACCCAGTCTAAGCATGCTTGCTCGTCTGGAAGGAAGCGCACTGACTGCAACAGAATTCCCTCGGAGGAAAGTGGAGACAAGAACGCCCTTAGAATTACGGTTTAGGAATCCAAGGGGAAGTCCAAGCAATGCTCCTGCAAGACCGATCGACATTCCCCCTTTCTGCTATTGGGGCAGCTCCACAAGTAATGGCACAAGCCCCGCCCTCTCCCGCCTTCGCGCGCTGCCTCCCGCCACGCTTCCAATTGTGCCGCACTTCCGCATTCCCGTGATGCTCCGAAGCTGGCGAAACCCGTGTCCGGTGGGCTTCTGCATCTGCAGCCTTCCAAATGGAAAGGTAGAGGAGCATACGGGTCCCTGAAGGGCTCAAAGTAAGGACGAAGGGGCGGGGCGATCAGGTCTGAGGCGCCATTTTTAAACAGCCGAAGCAACCGAAACACGCTTGAGCTCGTAGGTAGGCAAGCCAGACAAGGGGGGAGAGGGAAGGCCGTAGCGCAGGCTGGCAGTTAACATCTGAGGCGGCTCGCGTCGTGGCAGTGCCGCTTATTTGGTTCACGGCTCTTTTTTCACCCTTGATCGGTTAGTTATTCTGCCTTCATGTGTGGCTGAGGGCTTCACTACTCTGCCTAGCCTGCCGGCTGGAGACGTCTTCTTTGGCGTTCCTCTGCTTGTTTACTTATATGCTTTTATTCCTTACAGTGGCCTTTTGCATGCCCCCTCCCCCGCTCCGTTTATCAAATAAGCCGGAGCGTAACAGGTCTTAGAAGTGCCAGGATGTATTAAAACCTAAAGTGGATCCTGGAATGACATTTCCTTCCTCAGGAAGCAAGCAGCAGACCGCGAGAATAAAGTTCTTTGCTTTCTGGTTATTCATTCCCGAAAGGTAAGGAGCTTTATCTTGAGCGTTGCGTCTTTCCTACGAGGAAGAAGACATCATTTTATGGGAGACGTGGCGTTTAATAAATCCTGACACTCCTGAGAAATGCACATTTCCTGCACTGTATGTATGTTCTCTCCACCCCCCATACCCTCCCGGCCTATTATTGTAACAAAAGCCCTGGGAAATAGGCTTAGGTTTTCTCAATAGGCTTCATGGTAGGGTGGGGCTTGGCTGTGGTCTGGGATCTCTCTGGCCCTAGTTTGATTGACTGCCCACTACATTAGATCAGCTCTTCATATATATATATATATATATATCGCTGTATGTTGTGTTTACCACCACCCAAATTCAGGGTATGTTGGCCAAAAAGAGCCCATAAAATGTAATTTTAATTCTCTAAACCCTATCATGTTTTTAGTGGCTAATACTAAAAGAGCCGAAGTGCAATATTTCCATACTGATAGCAGATTTTTCTTCTTTCATAAAGATCATATTCTTTTAAGCATCTATTGAACCACAGCACCTCTGGTCAATAACTTCAATTTTGTATTTGGCAATGCTGATTACAATAACCATACCTGGCATGAAAGATGCTAAGGATGAATGGAGGCCCTTAAGTGATCACTTGAGTGCAGGCAAGATTCAGTAGAGCTTGTTAAGAGACAAATAAATGCATATTGATGTTTTTGTAGCAAGATATGGAGTCAATGAAATGGATATTAAATGTAAAGTCTCTCTTTTAGCTTCAATGCTGATACTAGACAAAAGAGTCCTCTGGCATCTTAACAACTAAGGGAAGATCCTACTGTATAATTCCACTCATGGGAACAGTTTCCATTAGTGGAATTAGCAGAGGTGATTTCTCCAGTCCTCCAGTGACCTTGAAGAAAGTTTTTCAGTTGGTTGAGGGTTCCACACAGGGAAAAAGCAAAAGTCCCACTGTGCTAGTCGGTCTGAGCATGGGGTTCAATTTAACCTTAAGACTGTAGTTCCTACTTACCTGAGAGTTAACTCCAATTAAACTTTATAGGAATAGTCATGCATAAGGTTGTGCTACATCGGATTGATTATGTATAAACGTTTTGGGGATGAAGCTTACATCAGCTAATAGAATCCATGAAAGTGTGTGTTAGACTTTAAGGTACCACATAGTTTTCTTTTGTGAGTGCTCAGTATCCAGCAAATTCTATGTGCTAACTTAAGTTCCTTCTCACTAGTATAAACTATTCTAATCCAATACAAATAACAATTTTGGCTGTTGTGCTAGCACAGGTTATGCTAAAGCAACATATATTATTGTTTGGTACATTTCTATACCCTCCCATAGCCCACTGGGGTCTCTGGCCAGTTTACAAATTTAAACACACATAACAATACAATAATCATATTTAGATAAAAACAGTAAAACCAATATAACAAAGGTTGATTACCTATAGCAGTTAAGGTAAAATCAGTGCACATCATAGCAGCAGATATAATAAAACAATTAAAACAGATCTTATCTATTTAAATAACTGGAAAAAAGGGTTTTCACCTGGTGCTGAGAAGAAAACATTGGTGGTGCCAGGCACACCTCCTTGAAAAGCATGTTCCAAAGATGGGATACAACTGCTGAGAAGGAGTTTTACCTAGTTATCATCCTTCCTGTCTTTTGGGGCTTGTTTCCTAAGGAGAACTCTGTGGATGATCTTAGGGACTGGGTAGGAACATAGGGAGCAAGGCATTGCTTCAGACAACCTGGCCTCAAACAATTTAGGGCTTTAAATGTTAACATCAGCACTCTGAATTGGGTCTGAACTTCAATTGGCAGCCAATGCAGCTGAAAGAGGACTGGTATGATATGGTCCTGTGAGCCACTCCTCATTGATAGCCATGCTGCTCTGTTTTGAAACATTTGGAGTTTCTGGACTGTTTTCAAAGGCAGCCCCACATAGAGTACTTTACAGTAATCCAGACAAGGGGTTACCTGAGCATGGATCACCATGGCCTGGCTCTGCCTGTCTCATAGTTGGTAAATCAGCCTAAGCTTATAAAGGGTGCCCATGTCGCTGAGGCCATTTGTGACTTGAGTGACAGTTCTGCAACCAGGAGCACCCCCATATTAAGAATTCTGTCCTTTAAGGGGAGCACAACCCCATCCAGGGCAGGTTGACTATTTCCCAAATGGACAGATGAACCACCTACCAACAGTACCTCCATCTTGTTTTGATTGAGTCTCTATGTATTGACCCTCATCCAGTCCATTACCAGGCCCAGGCACTGGTTCAGAACAGCCACTTCCTCACTTGAGTTTGAAGAAAAACAATGTGTCATCTGCATATTGATGACACTTCAGCCCATGCCTATGGATAGCCTCCCCTGGTGGTTTCATGTAGATATTAAATAACATGGGGGATAGAATTGAGCCCTCCGGCGCCCCATGGCATAACTGCTATAGCGCAGAGGAACAGTCCTCCAGCACCACTTTCTAGAATTGGTCAGCTCAGCAGGAATGGGGTCTCTACAAAGTGGTACCACCAAGTGCCAACCTGGCCAGCCTATCTAGGAAGGATACTGTGGTTAATGGTATCAAAAGCTGCTGAGAGATCCAGGAGACTCAACAGAGTCACACTGCCCCAGACTCTCTTCACAAAAGTCATTCCACAGCACAACCAAGGCAGTCTCTATTCCAAAGCCAGGCCTGTAATCCAATTGAAATCGATCTAGATAGTCTGTTCCATTGAAAAGTGCCTGAAGTTGCACAGCCACCACCCTCTCAAGAAGGACAGCTGTGCCCCATTTGGTACTTCCATAATATGCTTGTTGAGTGGTTTTGTATTTGCATGCAATTACACAAATTATAATTTGTGTTGTCATACAGGTGCATAAATATATATTAAAAATTATCACCTATGCAGGATGTAGCTGGCCTAGCCTGTGGGTGAGGGGTGCTGTGTTCATTCTTCACATGTATGCATATATGGAAATAAACCTAATGGGAAGTGTTAAATCTCCAGGACCTCCATTATGAACAACTGCAAAATGTTTTGTGTTCTGGCACAGATGCTCTTATTTATAGACAAGTTTTCACATTAGGGATTGTAATTTGTTTTCAAATGTTGAAATGGATTTTTCATTTTTCCAGGCATAAGTTTGTCATGTCCAAGGTTTCAATACCATGTAAATCCACCAAAATGTTAAAATAAAAATGTTCTGTAAAGGCTATTGGAACAGATGGTTTCCACCATATTGCTAAAATTCAGTTATGAACAGAGTAAGACATTTTGTCTGGTGAGAGGGCCTACTGTTATGGTGCAGTAACCAAGAATGTGTCTTTTTTCCTAATTAGATGAACATGGCATAGTGCCTTTGAGAAAATCTCTACGGTCAAGGGGATTTGTATAGGAAAATATGCTCCTAAATTGTTGTCTACTGGCCAAGTAATACTAGGCAGTATATCAGCAGTACTAATAGCAATATTGTATTAGCAGTAGTAGGGGCAGATGACACAACATTGGATTGAACTATATGAAATAACTAGTACCTGGAATCAATCACCTAGGGAAGTCAAAGGCTGTCGCACACTGGAAGGTGCAGCTGATCAGCCAGGGTGGTTTAACTTGCAGACATGCATGGAGCAGGCAGTTGGACTTGATGGCCTTATGGATCCTTTCCAACTCTAGTATTCCATGATTCTACAGAATACCAGCAAATGCTCTGTTTTCTTCCCTAGAGATTGGTGGTTTTGTTTTGTTTTGGGGGTTTCTTTTTGTAGCCCTGGAGTAATTATTACTTGCAGAGTTTCAAGTGTTTAAAAACTTCCCACAAGATGTCAGTATACTACCAATTGTTATTTCAATGTATCTTTGATTTTTCTTACCAAATTAGAGCTGCTTAATAATAATAAATGATTACAGAATGAATAATATAATTGGAAAATAATTTTTAAATGCAGAAGTCACAGTAAATAACAAATAAAACGTAAACACTTGTGTCATAATTGTTTATTTAAATAGGGATGTTTTTGCATGTTACTATTTTCCAATATCATGGGTGTAAAACTTTTGGATTTTTAATCTCGAGTGTAAGATTTCTGTCAAACAATTGGAAGCCCTCTCAAAATTTTTTAAAGTAGACAAAATGTACTGCAATGTTTATTGATTTAGTATTTATGACTTACTCTGTTTAATAAATTGATAGGCCACTTAGCAGGATAAACATGCTTACCCTGCTAACATGCTTACAACTTGTTTTAAAATACAAATATAACTTATCCCATGCCAAAGTGTGAGGTTCTAAAATTTAAAGTTTATTTTTCTTTCTCCCGACAAAGAGAAAAGAATTCATTTACAGTATTATGAGCTGTGATATTCTGGTACTGCTCTTGATTCATGTCAATAATGGCAGGGACCATCAAGAAACCCAATGCAGTCAAATTGTTGAATATTGCATTGACTGTTGCATCTGTCACTAAACAGGGTACATTTTTATCAGTTTATCTGGCTTTCACATAATGCTTCAGAGTAAATGCCGTTTTGGAGGAACAGCTCCAAAATGACTTTCAATAGTATAATAAAAGTATAGATAGTTGGGAATTATACACAGTGCTTTCAGATATTAGCATATTTGATTTATTTCAGTAAATTTTACTGAGATCAATTTAAGAACTAATTCAGATTAAAAAATGGACTCTTGAGCAAAGCATTGTTTGAAAAGTAAGGAAGCATTGTGATATGGATTCAAAGTGCATTTAGGTATGAATAAACTGTTGTTAATTGGATGCTTTTCTGTTTGTACAGGTAATTTGGTCTCTGGGGATGACCTCAGGCGAGAAAGTGGTCTCTATGACGGTGGCAGGCTTGTGCTGACGGCATTTTTACCTGATTGTCATCTCATTAACATTCAGTCAGAATGGAAACTTTGTCAAATGTCCTTCCTCCTGTGGGTGGAAGTGGTGATCTTGGCTCACATGCAGAAGTGCAAAAAATGTTAATTGATGAAAGAATGCGATGTGAACATCATAAAACCAATTACCAAACACTAAAAGCAGAACATACGAGGTATAGTATGCTTCTTTCCTTTCTTTTTCACATTTAGTAAAAGAATTAAAAGGAGTAAGATTTGGAGTAATTAAAGGAGTAATTAAAAAAGAGTAAGATTTGCCTATGCTTTTTGAACACATGCTGACTTTCAGTAATGAAATGGCTTCAGTAAATGAAAACCAATGCAACTGGACCAGTTGCAGTGATTTTCAACTAATGAGACAAATAATGTGCTAATTCCGTATACCACTGCAAACATTTGTTCAGTAATTTACAGTAGCTTTGTGAAAATAGCTGAATATGTATATTAAGCCACATCATAAAAGCAGTTTGCCAAAAAGAGCAGCCTCCAGCTTGTTGTGATTCAGGAGGCCATTGTATTACCCTTATAGGCCATTTTGTGCCTTGAGCTTTAGTTTCTCAGGATATTGAAACTGTTAATAGCTACTGTGTTTAGAAAAAATTAATAGCTACTGACAAGTCATTCTTGGTGTCTGTTCATATCATTGTGTCATAGTGTTTTCAGCAGGACAAGAGGTTAAAACTGCTTCCCAGAATGCCTCTGCGCTCCCACTTTTATTATCTTCTTAGTTGCCATCCTTAGTATAACCAAGCATTATAGTACAATCCAGTGAGGATTTATGGGATTATGCCCATTAACCTCAGAGATCAGAATGGGAGAAGCACAGAGGCATTCTTTTCTATCTCTACAATTGGCTGTCTTGTTGTGGCAGTTTAAATGGGGATGGAAGGAGGGTACAGTGCCATCAGGATTTATCTTCCCCTTGTAGCTGCCTGGAATGCCCTTTTTACCCCATCTCCAAGATTGCTGTTCTGGTGTCAGAGAAACAGCTAGAGCTTTTTTCCAACCTTGGTTCTGCTAGTAAAAAAACCTATGTGGGAGATAAAGGATTGCTATGTCTGTGCAGTTGAAATAATGGATATGCTTTCCCTTTCTAAATCTCTGTTCTTCTCTGTGGTCTCTGTGCAACACATGTATGGGGTGCTGTGCCTGCTCAGTGCCTTGTTCGGGAAGGTTCCTCTAGTTAAGCCTATGATTTTGGGTGGAATACCCACCCCCTTCCCCGTTATGCAAATAGCGAGCTCCCGCCATTTCAGTTCACTTTCGACCGCTGTTTGCAAGTGCATCAGGATCTCTAGCATTCCTTCTGCCTTAAATGCAACTTTTGATTTCCCTAACATTCATTTTCTTTCAGAAACAACTCTTTAGCTAAACTATTTGTTCCTATTCTTTACTCTACCTCCTTCATCTTCTCATATTTTGTAAAGTTTGTGTAAATAGCCTGTAAAGGTGTAATCATATGCATGTCTACACAGATGTAGGTCTCATTGAATTCAGTGGAACGTACTCTCAGGTAAATGTACATAAGACTATAACACCCAGAGGATGTTAATACCTACAGGCCAGTGGCAAGGTACTTGAGCAGTGGTGACTGAGCAGCTTCCAGGCACTCTTGAATGAAATAGATTATCTAGATCCATTTCAATCAGGTTGCAGGCCTGGTTTTGGAATAGAAACTCCCTGTGGGATGAACTTTGCAGGGCAAAAGACAGGGGGAGTATGATCCTTTTGATTCTCCTGGAACTGTTAGTGGCTCCTGATACCATTGACCATGGTATCAAAATTACCATCCAGATAGGTTGGCTGGATTAGGTGTAGGAGGTACTGCATTGCAATGATTCTGCTTCTGTTTGACTGACCAACTCCAGAAGGTGGTGCTGGGGAATTATTGCTCTGTGCCATTGCAGGTTTTTATTTTATAATTATGCTATTTAACCTCCCTCAGGGCTTTCATGTAGATGTTACCTGGAGGTATGGACTGAGGTACTACCAATATGTGTATGACACTCAGCTCTACCTCTCTCTTTCATCAAACCTAGGTGAGGCAGTGGCTGCTCTGAATCAGTGTCTGAGCACATTAAAGGATTGGATGAGGGCTAACAACTGAGACTCAATCTAGGCAAGATGGTGGTACTTTAGTGGGTGGTTCATCTGTCAGTTGGGTTCTGGATGGGGCTGTGCTCCCCCTAAAGGACAAGGTTTGTAATTTGCAGATGCTTCTGGACCCAAAGTTGTCACTTGAGACACGAGGTGATTCAGTGACCCGGTGCACCTTTTATCAGCTTAAGTTGATGCACCAGCAATGACCTCACCTGGATAGAGGGAAGCTAGCTACAGTTATCTAATGCTCTGATTGCCTCTCATTTGGATTACTGCAATGTGCTGTATGTGGGAGTGCCTTTAAAAATGGTTTGGAAACTTCAGCTGATCTAAAACAGGGCTGCAAGACTGTTAATGGGGACTGGCTGATGAAAACATATAACTCCAGTCCTCTTCTACCCGCACTGACTGCCAGTTGAAGTTCAGGCCCCTAAATGGCTTGTGGCCAGGTTATCTGAAGGACTGCCTCATCCCATATGTACCTACCCAGACCTTGAGGTCATCTTCTGGCTCCTTCCGAAGGAAGTAAGGCAGGTGGCTACCAGGAGAAGGGCCTTTTCAGTTGTGACACCCAAGTTGTGGAATGAGCTCCCTGAAGAGGTGTGTATGGCACCTTCTTTGTGTTGTTTTTGGTGCTAGTTGAAGACTTTTTTCTCCCAGCATATTAACAATTAAATTTTTAAACTTCAGTTTAATATTTCATTTTATTATGCACCATTGCACTGTCTAGCGACTGTGATACATACCCTGGTAACTTCCTGGTTGGATTATTGTAATGTGCTCTACATGGGGTTGCCCTTGAAAACGTTCTGGATACTTCATTTGGTACAAAGCAAAGATGCCAGGTTGCTGTCGGGGCCTGATCGTTATTCTCATATAACGCCGGTCCTCTATCAGCTACACTGGCTCCCAATTGAAATCCGGGCCCAATTCAAGGTGCTGGTATTAACCTATAAAGCCCTAAACGGCTTAGGTCCAGGATACCTGAAGGATCACCTCCTTCCCTATATGTCCTCATGCCCCTTAAGATTGGTGGGGGAGGCCTTGCTCTGGGAACCCTCCTTGAAGGAAGTACAGAGGGTGTCTATCCAGAGGAGAGCCTTCTCCACAGTGGCACCTAGACTATGAAATGTGCTCCCCAGAGAGGTCTACCTGGCGCCGATGTTATACTCCTTCTTGCGCTAGGTAAAGACCTTTTTATTTAACCATCATTTTAACAATTAAGGGTTTTAGACATTTTAAGATTTTTTGTTTCTTTTTGTTTCACAGTCACACTTTCTATTTTTCTTTTTTGTTTATAATGTTCAATATTAAATGTTTTAATAAATGTAGTTTTAATTTTATTTCAGAATTTTATATTATGTAAGCTGTCCTGAGCGCTTCTGTGGAAGGATAGGATATAAATACTTGTAATAAATAAAATAATAAATTGCTGTGCTTCTATGCCAATTTAATTACTATTGTGGCTTTTTAAATTTTTAAGTAATTTTATATTATATATTTGTGTATGTTAAATGTTTCTCAATTTTTGTTAACCACCCAGGAAGCTTTGGCTATTGGACAGTATAAAAAAAGGAAATAAATAAATGAATACACTGTAATAAAAAAAATGGAAATTGTTGGGTTTTTTTTTTTTTTTTTTTTTGCAGGCTACTGGATGAGTATACAAAATCACAAAATGAGCTCAAACAGCTGTTACATGAAAAACAAACTGTACATGATAAATTTCAACTTTTACTTGCTGAACTGCAAGGGGAATTATTGGATAAAACTAGAGAAGTAGAAGAATTGAAAATGCAGGTGAGGCCATAATTCATTCATCTAGGGTCTATGAATATTAGATTTCTGGTTTTAGATAATATGCAATGTCTTAATCCACATAATTCACTTGTTAGCTTACATTTTTGTCATTTGCTTCTGTACCTGAACTTTTGAAATGGAATTTGTGGACATAAGATCTCAATGTTGTATTGCAAACTCTTTAAAAAATCTCTCTTGAGGCAAGGGAACTGCTCTCTAAGGTCAGATCTGGATCTAGCTAGTGACTGGCCAAGGGCATCTAAGAAACCTTACAGCTGAATGGAGGGTCTTTCCATTCCTAGTCCAACATGCTGGCTCTAATCATTGGACTTTTATTAGGCAGCCAGACTATATACATGCTGCACCAATTTTCATCTACTGTTAATATAAGCCTTTGTGGCAACAAGCTTGCAATGCAATCCTGCCTAAGTAGAAGTGAACCCCACTGAGTTTAGTGGGGTTAACTCCCAAATAAATGGTTTTACAGTTGCAGTCTTATTCAGCTTCCTTTCACTTCAGTCAGTGCATCAGCTGTCCAGACAACCTTTATATAATACCAGTAGTTGGTGTAGGCCTATGTTTTCTTTGATTATTGCCAGTTCTACTACTTTAAAAATATATGTAACATAAAAGGTAATAGAATATTTCCACCCTGAAACAGAACATTAAGAAATCATTTTTTTTGTTTGTGTTGTAGCTGCCAAGAAAATATCATTTCATGAAGATAGGCATCCACACAACCATTAAACCACCATCATGTATTATAGTGTGCTATTCTGGCTTCAAAGCCAGAGCAGAATGCTTCCCAAATAGACTGAATGATTGCAGCTGAGCTGCTGTTAAAAAAGGAACACCTTTCCACACCCTAAAAACTAGGAACACTGTAGCCAGCTGGTGATTGGCTAAGGAGGCTCACCTCAAATTTGTCAAAAACTGTTGTGTATAAAAGAACAGAAAGGGTCCAGCTATGCTTTGACTTGGTTTGGTTTAATTTTTTTTGTCTTGGCTACAATTGGCTTGTGACTTTGAGCATCACAGTTTAGACCTTGTCCTACTGAAGACCTGTGCCGACGAGTAGGTATGTAGAAACAGGTGTTGGTAACTACTGTTTTTGTTTCTTGTTTTGCCTGAAGCATTGTTTCTAAATGTTCAGATATGCCTTCTATTCCCTTTTTCTTTTGTAAATAAATCAGATATAAGTGGTGCTGGTAGCCTACTGTGTTGAGCTAGTGTACAGCCTGAACTACTCTTGTCCTTGCTCATGTTGCTGGAAGCAAAGGTAACTCCCTTCACACCAGGGTGATGTCTGCAAATGTTTAAGTGGCAGCAGAATACACACACATGCGTGCGCTAACTTCTCTGTATTTTATTTATTTTATTATTTTGCAATACATATTCTGTTACTGTTTGCTTATTCACTGTATATATTTGTTTTTGCTGGCATGCAGGTAGTAACTCCACAGAAACTGGAACTGCTGAAAGCACAAATACAACATGACTTAGAAACACCTGTGAGAGAACGCTTTCGAAAGTTGGATGAAGTAAGTGTAAAGGAAAGGTTTTTATAAAAGCACAGATGTCTACCCAGACTTTTCTTCAAAGTAGTGAAAACTGGCAGGTTGCTCAGTTTGAAAAAAAGTTTTTACCACTTTTGAAAAATGAAAAAAATATTTTTATCCATTGCTGCTTATCTTGGATCATTGCTTACCTTTATGGTACTATTTTTTATAAACTCAGAACATTCTCTTACTGGAGTCCTTTTAGTGAGTTAACCCAATTTTAAATGTTTTTCACAAGTGATCTCTTCAAGATCAGTTCTAGTTGGTTAGTGTCTGTGAAAAGTGCTGCCTACACTGAACAGATAATTATAAGTAATGTCTTGCTGTTACTGTATACTGAGAATGCTGTGTTCTAAGTTTTTGTCTTGATCTTATGTGTTCCTTTATTTGATGCAATGGCTCTTGTGAGCTAACACAAGAGGTACAAATCTGGAGGCTGAAACGTAAGTAAAGGAAGAGAGAGCATTTTCTTGGCAAGCCAGGGCAGCTCTGCTCAGTTTTCTGGTAGCATGATTCAGTTGCAGCTACAATAAATATTAGCAAGCTTCATTCCCTACCCATGTTGTTGGAGCTAAAGCCAAACAATAGTATTGAAGTATATGATGCTTCTGTAAATATAACTTAGAATGCCATTAACAAGAACAATTCATGAGTGTTGAAACATGTTCAGTATATGCCAAAATGTTTTTCCCATTTTGGGGTCTTTTTTCTTTTTTGCTTGCTTTTCACAGTGATTTAGTTCAGTCACACACACTGTTTTTAATTTAGGAAGTAGAAAAGTATAGAATGGAATATAACAAGCTTCGTTATGAACATACTTTCCTCAAATCAGAGTTTGAGCATCAAAAAGAAGAGCATGCCCGTATTTTAGAAGAGAAAAAATTAAAATATGAATCTGAGGTAAGTCCTAATGTGAGAAAAAACTAAGCATATTATTTTTTGAAGTATGGATTAATTTAAAGTATATGTATTAAATCACACCTGAGCAATTATAATTTAGGTCTTCAGTTTCACAGATCTTTAAGAAATTGGAGGAAATCAGTCAGCACATTCAGTCACAAAGTGAGCTAGTTCCTTATCAATCTGGAGAAATAACCCAGAGTTGTAAACTCAACAGTAAATCAGGCATTAAACGTGGGTTGTTTCTACCTCATCACCTTGAATACCAGGTTCAGACTTAACTGAACACAGCCCAGAAATGGGGTATTCTTTGGTTGTTCAGCAACATGAAACAGTGAGTGACTGGGAGGCAGCAAGCTTAACTGTACATGGTTTAAACAGCCCATGGTAGTTATGTGCAAACCAGGTCATGATATTCCATACATGCTTACTCATATATAAGACTTGCTGTTTTCAGTGGGCTTATTGAAAACTTACTGAAAGTTGCTTCATCTTTATAGCTGCTGTAACTATGTAAATGGATTATTTTGTTCTGCTGTTAATAATAAAGTAAAAGTAATTCCTGTTCTAGATAACATACTGACACATTTTCCAGGTAAAATTTATAACCATTTGAACAGTTTCAAATATGACAGACATTTGATTTCTGCCATTTCCTTTTTATGTTCTGTCAGGAAAAAGCTGAAAAAACATTGTGCTAGTTTTATTAATATCTCAACTGAAGTTTTTCAAGTCTATTTGGCATTCTTTTGTGTGTTTCCCTATCTTTGGATGCACTGACATTTCACTTTTAACAGTTACTGTAACAATGTTAAATGTATGTATGTATACCTCTGATCCAGCCTAAGTTCTGGTACATCTGTGTGCCATGGGTGATTCTTCATGCTTTACCTCCTATGTACATAGTCACACACAAGGTTGTAAAAAGATCATTGGATGGAATGGAAAGTATGGCTATATTTTCATTCAGTTCTCCAGTTATGTGTACCATGGAGGCTGGAGCAAAATACTTTGTATGGTTAGATGGGAACGTGGTAGGTGTGCTTGGACTTCACATTCCAACAAGGATGGATGGAATGAACAAGGCTTCATTGATTCCTGTGGCAGTCCATCACAGCACTGTGATTGCTCCTGGATTGGAGTAAGCCCATAGTATTTTCTGTTCAACTACTAACAGATAACAAGACTGGATAAAGATAAGGAAGAATTGCATAATCAACTGCTTAGTATTGACCCAACAAGAGATAATAAGCGTGTGGAAGCACTATTAAGAGAAAAGGCCCAGCTACTACAGAAACTGAAGGGTTTAGAAGCTGAAGTAGCAGAACTAAGAGCACAGAGAGAGAATTCTGGAATGCAAGCAGAAAATGTTCAAAGAATACAGGTCCGACAGTTAGCTGAGTTGCAAGCTACAATGAGATCTCTAGAGGTAAGAAATCATGCCTGTCTCACTACAGGGTATCAGTGCATGTGCATCTGTGTGTGCATGTGAGAGGGGGTGGGGTGGGGAGGTTAGCAAACTGATTTTGGCTTAAACTCACATTCGGTTATCAATTAATTGTCTTATATTTGACTGTCTCTCCCTAGTTGGATTTTATTTATCACTTATTTAGAATACTTTTGAATTGGCCATCCATTCTGAGTGTTCAAGGAGACAGACAATAAAAACATGAAATTTTAAATACATAAAACACAAAAATCTATGCCATATTTTGAAACAAGGAATTAATGATAGAGTGACATTAACTGTTAAAAAACAGCAGAAGATAATCTTCCATATCTCTTCAGAACACTAAGAAGAGGTTAGCCTAATCTCACTTGTGAGGATGCTCCACAATAGAGATGCTGCTATACAAAAGGTCCTGTTATGAGTGCCCACCAACCCTGCAAGTGTAACATGGTCTCAGGAGGCAACTGCAAAGTACGGGCAGGTGGATCTGGGAGGAGGCCATCTTTTTAAGTACCCCATCTTTAAATCAGTTAGTGCATTGTAGCTAAGAACCATGTCCCCCTAATAATGGATAAGATTGCATCCTTACAAAATAGTACTGAAAATGCATATGGGCTATTTATTTGCATGACCTGTTGGGTCATGATACTGGCAATAAGCATGCATAGTCTAAAATATTGACCTTGTGTTTCCAGTACCCCAGTAAGCAAAGCTTTCCCTGGAAATAACGATTGTATATATCTATATGTATCCTAAAACACATTGTAAAGTAACATTTGATAAGAAGTAAGAATTCTACAAATAGGATCTGCAATAAAATGTAGTTAGTGTTCTTTGACTTTTTATAGATGGACGGGAGGTTTAGGACAAAAGATGAAAAAAGGACATTCTCTGCCCTACCATGCATATTGTGCTACATACTGCTAGGCAGCTCAGGTTGGCTGCTAACTCTCAACCTTAAGTATTTTATAGCTGTATAATATGGTGGGGGTGGGTAGTTTGGGGAGTGTGAAAGAGAATCCCTTCTTTCAATTTATTTTTGGGTGTCCTTGTTTTGCTTCCTAACTGATAGGTACTCAAACATACAAATTTGCTACTCGGAGAAGAGGTGGGAGCTGCAGTTCAGTCCACCGCATTCTGTCAGAACACTCCTAATCTGGATGCTAGACAGTCTTACACAAGAACCTCAAAGTGCTGGCAGGGAAAGGGGAAGGTTCAGGAGAAGGAATGAAAAAGGAACAATTCCCCCAAGGAGATGCTGAGCTATATATATTTTGCAGTATTTTTAATCCAGATATTGGCTGATTTTTACTATGTAATTGATTCAATTATATTAACTTTTGTATGTTTATTCATACAACTTTTAATGTTGTGAACCACCTTGAGTTCCACTCACAGAATAGTAGTAGTAGGAAGAGGATAGGGCTGTAGAACTTTGGCTGGCCCACAGGCCTGATCTGGCCCATGGATACTTTGCAGATGGTTTATGGAAGTTTGCTTCACATCTGTGGGCTCCACCCCTGTTGCCCTGCTAGCAGTTCCCCAACCAAGATTTGTGGAAGTAAAGAATTCCTTCCAATTCATTACTGATCGGAAATGAATGATGAAGACCACACAGTTGCTTTCCTGTGCATGAGACTACCCTGCCTGGGATTGAGAAGACCAAATGGAAGTTGGCCAACCGAGCTTCACCCTTTGCATCTTTCTCCATCATTTCTCTTTCCCTTGTTATTTTATAATCTAGTGTCCCAAATCTGCTAGATTTACAAAGATAGATTGTGTGGCCAGATTGTTGCTATTCAGATATAATGTGAAATGTTATGTTCTGATAAACTCTAATTAGACTGGAAACCCAAAAGCATATTAAAGCTACAAACCTAAATATACCTATTGGAAGTAAAGTGCACTGATAGCAAGTATTTGTAAACAGGTTTGCAACTATAGTTGAACCATAATTTGCCTCAAATAATTAAAAATCCAACTTCTTAATTTTAAGGCAGAAAAACAATCTGTGAAGCTGCAGCTTGAGCGAGTTGAAAGAGAACTGCAGATGAGCAGTGAGCAAAATACACTCTTAATGGGCAAGTTGCATAAAGCTGAGCGAGAGATCAATGTCTTGTCTACTAAAGTAAGTCATTTTATGATGTCTAGACTATATTTTATAGACTGTTACAAAAATATTATCATTAATTATATCTTTGGAGACAAACTGTCTTTATTTTGTTTACTTTTTTCTTCCCATTATTTCATAATTCAGTGTTTGAAAAACTGTATACTTACAGTTTTTGGATTTTCCTGTTAGCTTAAAAACATGCCTGGCATTTGTACTAAGAAGCTATTTCCTAAAGCAGTAATGACACCCACAGGTCACATTTAATAGCTGTTATGGACAAAATAAGCTACCTTGTGCCAAGTCAGAATACTGCTTGGTCTAATTCCATATTGCCTAATATCTGATATTTAGTTGTTGGTTGAAGTGTGAACTGTTTCTGGACTGCCAAATTATCACCTACTTGTGCCTCATGTCCTGTGCTGTGACTGCAGCATATAACAGCATCCATGTTAGCAACCCTATTCCTCCTTAACTTGTTTAGTGCTGTAGGGGGAACATTTAAAGCTGTCAGAAGGGGCATGACTTTCAGAAAATCTAAGCAGTCAGGAGATAATTGACAATCCATTGAAATCAGTGCAACCCCCACCCCCTGCTCATTTATTTCAACTAAGTATGATTAACTTAATCTAGATCCAGCCTAAGAGTAATTAGCATTTGCCCTTTTTGCAACATGGAAAAACATGTGTAAAAGAGTTCACTGATTTATAAAGGGACACCTATCATAACAATGATACCAAATAATGGTAGTGAGCAGTAATCTAAATACGCGAGTGTGTTCTCTTTTTCAGCTTACCATGTTTTGTATGGTGTCATATTGTAATGGAATAATTTTACACATATTTTCCACAATTTTGATCAGTAGCTTAATAGCCAAAGCAGGAATAATCCCACACATTATCTGCCCAGGAAGTGACTTTGAAGTATTTATTGATCTGATCTTAAATTCATTTCTAAATTTGCTCTTCTAGAACAGGGAACTCCGCACACACTTTGGACATATAAATAGTTTATAGAAATTGTTCCCTGTTCATTCTTATCACTATTTGTTCATAGGGAAAATAGAAATCATACATTAAGATGGAAGGAAAAAACTAATAGGCAATAAACTAATGTTCCCTGCTCTTTCCCATCCAATTCATTAATAAAAATGTTGAGGAACACTGGGCCCAGGATTGAACCCTGCTGTACGCCACTTGTTACTTCTTCTCAGTTTGAGGAGGTGCCATTGATGATCACTCTTTGGTATCTGAGTGGTATCAGACCACAATCCTCCTTTTTCCATACTCCTACCAGGAGGAATGGTGGAAGCATTTCTGTATTCTGTTCCTGCTGTTATCGCTTGTTTAACTAGATAGTCTCTGAGCCTTTCTAGCTGGTTTAACTTTCTGTGGGTGGATATGGAGAGACTCATCAATCCATTTTTCTCACCATCTCCTTCTCCAGTTCTGCTATTTTCCTCCCCTCCCTAGCCACCTTCTGAGGCCATTGTTAAGGGCTTGTAAGAGGAGCTGCAATACAAAATTGAATGGTGATTCTCCCTCACAAGGTCATATCCATGTCTGTCACCTCCAGAGGGGTGGCTGGAATCTGCAATATTCTATGGCCTGTGAGTCAATCGCAGAGACTATAGGATTGCTCAACCCATCATTCTTACATATAGCTGAAACTTTGCAGGATCCATATAGTTTGTGTTAGAATTCTAAACAGGATAAAGTAAGCAGCAATTGTTTTAAGTAAGTTAGGGCTGACCCTGAAATCTATATGTGTAATACAATGTTGCTAATTTCTGTGAGAAAGTTCTCAGGCAGAGCAAAAACTGGATAACCACGAAAAGGCTGTTGGAGATCATACAAACGATAAAAGTGATCTCATTCCTGTAACAGGGTCCATGCTGCATTACAAAAAATAATTACAGCTCTAAGTAACTGTTCCAAGTACAAGAAGCCAAAATTTATATGCTAGAGAGTGCTACATGACCAAAGATTATAGGACCCCAGCTACAGAATCATGTCATTAAAAAGTATGAAAGACCAATTTTTAATAGATATATGTTTAAATACTGAATTTAAAATAGCAGGATGAAAGTTAATGACATTTTAAAATAATCATTTTAAGACTGCAGCTGTTTCCAACATGGAATGGAATTGGAATGGTTCTGATTGTGAGAATTATCTTGAGGAAAGGCCCTGGGAGAAAAAAAATTGGTAAAAAGTAGAAAGTTGCTACTAGTTGTTTTTATGAATGTTTTTCTGTTTAAAAACAATTTTTAAAATGTTTTTATGTATGGAACACTAATGACAATTAGTAGAATATGAAGGGGAGTACTCAATCCTTGCAATGCATAAACCATGTATTAAACATATACCTATTTATGTATGTATGTATGTGTATGTCGGTCTGTCTGTCTGAGATATTTGTATGCTGTCCTTTGCAAGAGCCTCAGGATGGCTTACACAAATAAAATACAAATACCTAACATAACATAAATAAATTAACGACCCACTCTGGCTACAATTAAAATATAATGATAAAATTCAATATTAGAACTTACTAAAATAATGATTAAATAAAAAGGTCTTAACCTTAAGACCAAATTAAGCTGCTTGTTTTTAAAAAATAATCCATCCTGTACGATACTGTAGTTCCTTCATTAAAAACTATGCTATTGTTATCCTTTTGCAGCTTTCACATGTTAACAGGTAGTGATTACATTCAACATTGCAAACACTTTACAAGAGCTTATCTCTAGCTACTTAATTCTTACCAACCCTGTAATTACTGCACTAGAAAAGCTTCAGCTATAGAATGTTTCATTTCAATAATAATAGTCTTTAGTGTTTTGATTTTCATTTGAAACTCTAGTGTTGTCCAGTAAGGCATGGCAGATGTATTTAGTTTTAAATTGTATTGTATTTGTGATGAAGCATGTTGTCTATTCTGAACACATAGCTATGTGTAGGGCTAGCAGAGTGACATAAAAGCTGAGTGTTGCCATAACAGCCATAATACTAGGCTCATGATTTAATGAGATAGTTGAGACTCACACTTTTCTAGCCTGAAGACTTCTTTTGCTGAGGTGACAGATTGCCTTGAAAAAGGTGTAAACTTTGTGAAAATAACAAATTTGGGCATCTAGATGGCTATTTATAGAACATTGTGAAAAGATTAGGTTTATCACTTCTATGATTACTGAGTTTAGCAGTTTGGCATTTTTTCTGATCTGTAGCACAATTTAATTTACTGGAATGAGACAGGCATATGTCCCAGTAGTGTTCATAATTGACAGTAAATGTGACAATACTTTTTGCATAATATATGTATTTGAAATGAGATTGATGGAATGGAATTGTTACTGATTTGAATACGAAAACTAATTGAGCCTATGATTGGGTTCAGTCTTAGCAGCTATGATTAGGTTCAATCTTACCTGTGGATCATGTGCTATGTTTGTAGGTTGTACTGAGCAATCTTCTGTAGTTCTACTCAGAAATAATTGCCCCTGAGTTCCATGAAAACATGTGTAGGAGTATAACCTAAAATGGGTATTTTATTGTGCTTCTCTTTTTAAACTTTCACTCAATTTGTTGGGTGAATTACTTAAGACTGGCCAGGCTGCAATAACAACTATTACATCACTAGGCTTCCATGGCAGCCCTTTTGTATTGATGCTGTTGGAGTGCCTTGGTAGCAGCTACAAGAATGAATAAACGGATTTGGTAGGGAAGACCCTTTTTGCCTGTAACCTTAGCAGTTTATTGAAAGATCACTCAGGTACCCTTTGCAGAGAACCCATACTTAACAATAGTGCTGTTGGGTAGAAGCCAGAACAACTACAAGTTTCCAGAACATATACAGACTGTTTTATAGGTTCTGAGTCACATGCCATAGCAGATGATGACAAAAAAAGGGAACATGGTCAAAAGAATGTGAGAGCTCTGCAGAGGGGTCTCAATACAATACCACTGATTACAGGAAATTGATGTAACAATCAGAAGTCATTGCCAGTCTTCTGCTGTGAGTTTGATCATGGAAATTAGGGTGATTGCAATGCTGCTTCAAAAAACTTCTCTGACAACCTTATCAGCTTTTGCTGATAATAGAGAAGGATTAACTTCCTTTGCAGCCTCTGAGGCTAGCTAAGAGTTCCAGCCTCTTAAAGTAACAGCAGTGCTAAGCAGTAACCTTGCTTGAAATTCTGATACTTTCTGAGAAAGGGGTGTAGGTTTGATTTTATAACACAAAGGCACATATAAGCAACCTTTTTCTACCAGGAGTTATCTGTATTTCCCAACAATTGTGCAGAATACTTTCTCAAAATTCTAGATTTTCCTAAGGACCCAAAAGAACTGTGGAAAGGCCCTTTCTCATCCGCTTGTCTGCCTAACCACTCTCACAAGTGAGAAATCAGAAGGGCTTCCCCTTCTAATTACTGCGTGCAGGCTGGTGTAGGTGAAGGTGGTCCTTAAAGCAAGTTTGAACAACTTTGCTTTGTTGTCAGTCTTTCTGAAATGGAAAGTACTGCTATCTAATGTTTCCATCTCAGCTTGCCTCTTCTGGACAAGAAAAGAGCACTGGACTCAGTGTACTGGATCCAATGTTCTGATGGCATAAGGGAATGATTAGGAGTGGAACTGTGGGATTGTAGGAGGAATGAAAGGGCAATAAAGTCCTATTGTATGAAAATCCTAATGTGCAAGCTGGTTTTCATTTGTATGAATTGGAAATTTTGGCTCAGAGTAGGATGCCATCTTACCTGCCTACTTTTAATAGGTATTAATTCTCTGAATTAGTATTCATGTGGGTTCGTTTTGTGGTAGATGTTAGTTTCTTAGTAACTTTCTTTCACATAGTCAATTTGGAAAAGCTTGCATTAAAACAAATTCAAATTATAGAAATCAAAAAAGTCATAGTATAACATCAGTAATGGAGGCAACAGTACTAAAATAGCAAAACAGTGAGAGAACTGAAACAGTCGTGTTTTGGCATCAGAATGAATAAAGTGCTGGGCCTGTGAATCTCTGTAGTGGGGGCATGGTGTTCGAAGCAGGTGCCCTGTTCCTCATGGTCATCCACCATGTCTCAGTATCTCATTTGGCTATGGCACTGGATTATAACAGCTTCACAAATTATTTCGGTTACTGCATATTACTAGTTTGAAGAACAGCTTCCAGGGAAATAGGACAGTGTTTCTGAGAGTCCTACCTCCAGAAGTAGGTAGAAATGTTTATCAATTTCATCATCTTTTTGTCCTCTAAGATGGAAACAGTATACAAACTGTTCTGGTTAAAACTGATAACTGATAACTTTGTTTTCTATAGGTTGAAGAACTTAAACATTCTCACAAGTTAGAAATAACAAACATCAAGTTGGAAACAGCAAAATCTAGGAGTGAAATAGAAAGAGAGAAAAACAAGATGCAAAGTGAAATAGATGGTAAAACTTGATTGCTTAAATTATTTATTATAACTTCCAAGAGTGCAGAATTTTATCTTAGAATAAAATGTTCAATTCTTTCTTGAGTGAAAGAACCCTTGTGTGTAATTCTTTCTGGAAAAGGATGGTGTCCTTTTTTCCACTGGAAAGCTTTTCATTGGAATGGTTAAAATTCAGTTAGCTGCCTTTTTTTTTTGGTCCGAGTAGCTTCACCATCCCCAACTGTTTGCTCTCATAAACAAATATAAGAAGGGATACCATGATCCTGGATGGCAGGGATGGGCGGGTAGGTGATTTCTGTTTTGTGAATAGTTCTTTTAGATTTCTGGTGTGATCTTTATCCAGGATTACAGCATTTTAAGAAAAAAGTTTGATTCCTTCCCACACTGCAGTTCTCATAAGAGTGATATGTAAGCGCCTTCCCATAAATAAGAATTACCATTTTATGAGCATGTATCTATGATAATTTGTACTCGTAATATTTTCAGCAAAATCAGTATAACTGGTTCATGTTTCCCTGGAGGTCAGCCCCACTGAATACAGTGGGGCTTACTTCTGAGTAAATGTGTATGTCACTGATTCCCAGAGTGGGAGGCACTGCCCCCCCTTGGGAGCAAGTGGAAAGGTTCAATGGGGCAGTGATAAGTTACTTTAAATTTTCAGTAGAGCAATAGACCGAATACAAAGGAGGTATGGGGGTGCTGGGGTTGTCAGAGGAAAGGGTGATAGCCTGAAAAAGTTTGGAGTCCACTGGTGTATGTGTTTGCTACATTAAAGGTTCTTAATGCTGCTGGCACTAAATTCTACATTCATCAAATTGTAATCTGACTGCTGTCTTATGAACTCCCTCAAAGCTACATTTGAGTAAATTGCAGCTAGCTGAATAATTGACATATTCTACCTAATTATTTTCAGTCATTTTAAGTATTTCTTGTAATTGCAAATACTAACTTTATAAATAAAAACAGGGTTACGATCAGATAATGAAATACTTAAGGCAACACTTGAGCGGCACAAAATCCTTTCAGTAGAAAAGGATCGTGAAATAGTACGCAAAGTACAAGCAGCAAGAGAGGAAGGTTTCCAGAAACTTGCTGCATTACAGGAGGAAAAGTAAGTATGTTCATCATTGGATGCTTTCCTGTTTAGCTGTTAAAGTGTTAAAATTTCTTTCTGTGTATGCATTATGAATTCCCTTTCAGCTCTAAAATTGCTACTTACAATTTTTGCAGCACTTTTCATCTCATTACTTTCATATCATATCTTGGCCTATCCAAGGAAACCTCTTTCTTAGTTATTCCTGACTGTGTCTTCCATGGAAAGGGTCTTGCACAGTTTTTGTTCACTGAAAAATAATACTAAGCTGAGTAGGAGAAGTGCTCACAGCCCAGAAGTGGTATTTATATATTGTCCTCTGGTGATTGTATGGAGGTGGCTGGCTGGGCTGATAATGATTTAAAAGATATATATTTAAAACCTGGCTGTTTTCATAGCTGTAAATATTAAATAATATTTCAGGTTAGAACTTGAGACCAAATTAGCTGAACTAGAGAAATTCAAAGTGGAACAAGATGCTCAGAGACAGTCAGAAAAGGACCAGTATGATGCAAAGTTATCTGCTGTGCAGTTGACCGAAGAGTCCAGCAGAAAGGAAATCCAGAATCTTAGGTAACGTGTAGTAATTTAAATCATATTTAGCCTGCAAGTTTTTGTCTCTTTAGCAAAATACTAAAAGTTTGATTACAAATCTTTTCAGAACATGAATGCAAACCTTAACATTTAGCTGTTTATGTGTAAGTTGAGCAGAATATGCATCTTTCTTTCTACAAAAATTAATTTCTAGAAGGGTGTATATAATTGAACATGCTTATTTAGTATTTTATTTACTAGTTCAATGATGCATACAATTCTTTTTGAAACATTTTTTTCTTTTTCTTGATTGTTAGTTCAACTAATACAAACACGTAAATGCCAATAATAATGAAACTGGATCACAGTATAAAATACTATGTAGAAACTATTTTCTATTTTAAATGATACTTTATCCAGATTGATACAAACGTATACGTGTGTGGAAGTCTGTTTGCAACCATTTCCAATACAAGCTTTGGCATCACCATTTATTTCTTATCAAATTCCCTTAAGTCTTGTCTTTACATTTTCAAGTGCCTGCACAAATTTTTGTTAAATTTTAGATCTCATTGTGAATTTTTAATCACTGCTATATAACAACTTATTTATACCCATAAACACTCAACAAGGATCTAAATTCAGTGAGCAAAGAGCAGGACAAAAGGAAAGAAGATTTTATAAGAAAAGAAACAGTGGGAAAGCCAAAGACTGCATAATCTTTTCAAATACTATATATCTCTAGAATATGTTCCATTATGCCAGTCCTGTATCTTGAATTTATATGCAACATCTTCAGCTGTCAAATCCATTCACTTTTAATGTCCAGATATCAATGTATGCTTTTGTCTTATCATTCTATTTATGCAACAGTTGTTACATTATCAACCATTGTTGCTGTACAAATCAAAGCTTTTTAAAATATTCATAATTATTATTTCACTTTTACCATTTATGAAGGGTTAATTAATAAGATATATTTCACATGTCCATAAAATGCTATTCGAGACAGCTAAATAAAAATAAAAAACAATTTAACTAAAGCATTCAAAAATTAATTTTAAACAGTATAAGAATAATTATTAAACAATAAGAGAAATAGCCCCAAACTAGTTAGAATTTCCTTCAGTACAGGCCAGCTTATTTGCCCAAATAAAAGTGTCTTTGCGTGTTCGTGACAGGTAACTGTCGTGGCACATGCAGAATTTACATGGACAGACTGTCCCATTTTCACATTCTCCTAGCTGAAGTTTCTTCCTCTGTGTTGGAACTTCTTTTTGTTACTTTGTTTCATATTTTGCTTTGTATCAGATTTTGTTTAGTTTCAAAATATCAGAGTAGATTTTTTGTTTTTAGAAAAATATTTTAAGATTCCAAATTGTATTGATTTGTAGACTGAAACTTCAACAGCAAGTTACTAATTCAGAGGAACTAGAAAGAGAGAAAAGTGAAAATGCAACTCTAAAGCAGGTAAGGATGTGGAGTCATGCTATTTTAGTTTCCTAAATTAGATTACTGGACCATTCTACTTAAATTTCGTAGTAGATTTACTCATTCATTCATTTATGGTGTTTGCATACTCTTCCATATCTAGACAGTTCCAGAGCCATGAGCACTAAAAGCTAAAACAGCCTAAAATAAAAATAATATATTAAAACAAGGTAACATAGCTGGTTAGCAAGAAATACTTTGTAGAGCAATAACATCTTTGGCAGATGTTGAAAACAGTACACTGTTTGGTGCTTTTCTGACCTGTTTAGGCAGGACGTTTCATAGAAATGAGACTGCCATGGTGAAGGCTCTTGTCCTGATAGACTCCAGTTGGGTCATGGGTTCACTGGGAAGATCTCTTCTGATGATCTCAGTGACTGCTGAGTAAGTTAAGGAGAAGGATTTTTTCCTCCTGGTCCCAAAGTTATTTGGGGATTTTTACACAAGCATAGGAACCTGGTCAGGGAGGGAGCCAGTGCAGTTCCTTGAGCAAGAGACTAATCTGCTGAAATGTGGCAGCTCCCATCAACAGTTGAGCTGTTGTATTCTCTGCCAGCTAAAGCTTCTGGATCAACTTTAAGGACAGCCATGCAGATCCTGGTCCTGAGGTTACTAGTGCCTTTATCACTGTCACCAAACTATCCCTGTTCAGGAGAGTCCACAGCTGGCAAACTAATGCAAAATGATAAAAGACACTTTGAGCTGGGCCAGTCGCTTGGGACTCTAGGTACAGCAATGGGTCCTGGAATACCCCCCAGACTACAACCCTAATCTTTCAGATCTGGATGCAACCCCATCCAGACCAAGGAGGAAACCTGTCTCCTATATTATGGGGTGCCTCACTCACAGGACTTCCGTCTTGCTTGAGTCTGCTTCAGTTTATTGACCCTCATCCAGCCCATCACTGAGCCTGAACACTGACCTTGGACTTGCACAGCCTCTCTTGATTCAGTTGTCACAGGGAGATAGAGCTGTGTGTTGTGTGCAGTCAGCTCCAATCTCATAATAACTACTCCTAGCAGGTTATTATAGATGCTAAATAACACTGGAGACACAATCACCAGTCTCTGAGAAATAATCACTCGATGGTGTTTTCTGAAATTGACCTTACAAGGAGGACTGGAGCCACTGTAATGCAGTATCTTGGTAAGCCCACAGGGGAGTCCAGAAAGGGACTGTAGCTGATGATACTGAAAACAGATGAGAGATTTGGTAGAGTTAACAGGGTTGCATTGCACCTGTCCCTCTTTCAATGAAGGTCATCTTTCAAAGCAACCAAATCTTAATGCTGAGACTGAAATGCATCTAAATAATTAGTATAATTCCAGGAGCATCTGTAGTTGTTCTACCACATTTTCAATTACTTTACCTAGGAAAAGAGTATTTGAAACTGTGCAGTAGCTACCAGATATCATTGGGTACAGAGTGGGCTTCTGCAGGAGTGGTTGTCCTACAGCCTCCTGAAAAAGGCTTCAGGAACCATCCATTAATCCAAAGATACATTTACCACTCAGTTGTACTCCCTCAGCTAGATTTTATTAGCCAGGAAGAGCTAGCACACAGTTGATTGCACTGCTGCAGTAACCAGAATTGATCCCACAAAATCAGGCAGTTGCTGACATCAGACACCTTGACTGGAGCTTTGCCGCTAGCAGCATCAATTTTGTTGAAGGGCGAAACTATTTTGCTTTCCCACTGTGATGTGAAAAGGTCATGGTAGATATTCAAGGGGTCCAAGCCCCATTTGCTAGGGATAATGTTGACAGTGCCCAGACAACCTGGAAGAGCTTCAGTGGACGACTACTCAAAGATGTAATGAAGACAGCAATGTAATGCTTTTTTGTTGCTTCAATGCCACTCAGTATTATATGCTGCAGAACATGGGTCCTCAAACTACATCCCACGGGAAGGATCCGGCCTGCCATGTCCATTCATCCGGTCCACGCTGCCACCCCCCTGCCCGCGCGTGTGCGGGAAGTGGTGGCTTGCTTACTTGGAGATGGTTTTGGACTTGTTGGGAAATCTCCCAGTGAGTTCAAAACCATCTCCAAGCAAGCAAGCCAGCCGCCAGCGCCTGCCTCCCCTGTGTACGCACGCTCGCCGCTGCCTTGCTCACTCAGAGATGGTTTTGGACTTGCTGGGGGATCTCCAAGTGAGCCGCCACTGCACGCCTCCAGTGCCACCTCATGTTCACCCGATGACGCCTCACCGGCCCATGTGCCCAGGCCCCTCCCCTCACTGGCCCGCACATGTAGCTGCCGCCTTTCAACTGGCCCCCTATTGAAAAAGTTTGAGGACCCCTGCTGTAGAGCATGGTTGATCATCTTCACTTTGGATCTTACTCTCTTTGTGCTGTAGCCGGTATCCACCCTGTTTAATTGCCCACAGCTCCCCAGCGTATCAAGGTGCACAGCTGGCTGTACAGCACTGGAAAATAAATCTGTGGCCCTCTGCATCTTGCTAATCCGCTAGGAGAGACTAGAACCTTGGCTGGATTATCAGTTCTGTTCACTGAAAACCGCCAAGAAACTCATTGAATTCCATCATTTTCCTGGAGTGAACCATCTGAATGGGTCTCCTTCTGCAGAAGGAAACTGATGCTGCAAGTTTGTATATCACCAGGAAATGGTATGACCATGACAATGGAATTACTTGGACTTAAACCCAGCAGAAGTTAGAAATTTTATTTCCAACGTGTTTTACATTTTGGACTTATTTCCAATATGATTAGTTCATTTTAAGAACCAAAGGAAACCGTGTTGTGCCCACCAGTGGCCAAAATATCTGTTTTACAAGCACTTCATGTAGGCATCCCTTTACAAATGGTTGCACTAAACATGTTGATGCTGAGAGGGAGGATCCATGTTTTGTGCAGGCTGGGGTCAACATCATGTCCCTAAGCACTGTTACATATGTACAACTTCTACTGGTAATTGGTGTCTGTAGAATTTTTCTGCATATGTGTGGTGTGATTATCTCAGCTTTGAGAGATTTGACAAGAGGTATTTCACCGATCACATTTATAAATATTTTTTTCACAGCACATCCATGATTTGCAACTGCAAGTGGCTTCACTTTCACAGTCAGAGAATGATTTGCTGGATTCCAGTCAGAAACTCAAGGAAATGCTGGAAAGATTAAAGCATGAATGCAGGACTGCACACAGTCAAGCAGAAAGAGCTCAGTTAGATGCAGAGAAGTATGATTTCCTCCTTAACATGGTTGTCTTACGGCATCTTTTGCCATAAGAAAGCCAAAATCAAACCATTTGGAGAATAAATGATATTTTTCTTGGATTCATCTACATGTAGTAGGAATTTTCTGTAATATGATAAAATTAAAATATAAATTACGTTTGGATTTCATTATCTGAAAGTATTTGCACAAAGTCTGCAATCCTTTGTACACTTACATTGGTGTGCACCCTATTTGATAGAATGGGACTTAGTTCTGAGGAAACATTTTGTTTAGGTTGTGTAGTGCATTAAGAGGAGACAGGTAGTAATTTGTCACAAAAGCATATACATTTTCTAACAGAATTGTGGAATGACATTAGTAGCCACGTATGTAATTTCTGTAAAGTAACTAACCTGATTCTATGAGCATTGAATGAAGCTTGTACTGCCTCTTTATGCAAGATACTGACCTGCCCATTGTTATGGAGTGAGTTCTCACAGGCATGTTTATCATTTGATGATGCAATGTCTAATGAAGATTTGCAGGCGTATGGAAGAGCTGTGGTAGGCAAACTACCATAAACAGCATTTTCATATTGCTTTCATCTACTTTCTGTATTTATATTGTGCCTTTATGATTTGACAGCTCTGGAGATGGTTTATAATAAAAGCAAAAATAATTCTCTGTTAAAACTATTCAAATCTTAAAATGTGAGGGCAATACTGACTTTTGCAAGTAGGTAAGAGCAATGTCCACTGCAGATTTTTCAGCCCACATTACTGAGCACTGCTGTTCTGGCAGTCCCATGAAAACTTCTAACAAAATATTTTTGAGTAGTATCCTATTACATGTTGAGATGTGAACCATTAAGTGATGTATATGTGTCCTGCTTGGTCTTAGTCATCTATTTCAGGAGTACAGTTTGATTAAGCAGTAATAATGGGTACTTGAGTATCATTGTCAAGTTATTTTTAGAAGTTAATTTTTTTAAAACCCCCATTCACTTAAGGCAGTGGTGGCAAACCTATGGCATGCGTGCCACAGCGGGCACAGAGAGCCCTCTCTGTCGGCACGTGAGCCAAGTCGCCCCAGCATTGCCCCAGCAGCTAAGTATCAGATAGGGGCCATGTGCATGCTTGGAAAGGAGTAGTGGCACCAGGCGTTGATGTCACAAGCCGCGACTCATAAGCCGCAACTCGTCCAAGCTTTCACATGGCCGATCAGTGCACTGCCAAGGATATATATATATTTGCTTGGATTGGCTGTGAGTTGTTTTTTCTAAACTAAAACCTCAGTTTTCAGGTTTTATTGCAGTATTGGCACTTTGTGTTGAATAAGTGGGTTTTGGGTTGCAGTTTGGGCACTCGGTCTCTAAAAGGTTCGCCATCACTGACTTAAGGAAATCTCATTTCATATTCCCTTGAAAAATTACATTATTATATTATATGCCCTAACACAGTTTAGAATTTGTTTTAGCACATGAAACTCAGCATTTCATATATTGCTATTCCTGTTGTTCAACATTTTTATTGAGGGCTATTATATAAACTGTAATATAATACAAGCTCTTTAGGTTTGTCTGACTTCTTTCATTTATAAAAGGTATATTCTTCACCTCAAGGTAAAAATGACATTGGTAATAATGTGATGATTAACCATGTACAATGCTGCTAATAAGGAGGCTTGATTTGCAAGTCAGCCATTGCTGCTTTTTGTTTCCTAGAAATTTGGAAGACAAACGTGTAGAATGGCTGGAAGAAAAGCATAAACTTATTCAGCGCATCACAGAGATGGAAGAGAAGAACAACCAGATAAAAGAGAAACTGCATCGAGCAGCAGTCGCTCAGAAAAAGGCATGGGAGTCACACATTTATTTCTGTGGGAATGTTTTCATTCTGGATTAGTTTCATTGTGCTTGTATATAAAGGTTCTAAGTGTAGCAAGATCATGTCTTAGTGTATAAAATATTAGCTTGTATTATCAAAAACTTGGAGTCCTAAATAGCTAAGAGAAGCTATGACACAATCAAGAAATAATACAGGTCTTACTGCTACCTTAAAACAATAACTGTCTGTGGGAAATTAATAACTACAACATATTTATTAGAATTGTATCCTGCCTTTATCTTACATCATTATCTTCCTCCTGCTCTCAGTCTTATCCCCACAACAAGAACCCCATAGTGTAGGTTGAGCTGAAAGTCTCAAAGTCACCCAGTTGGCTCATGGCCAAGCAGGACTAGAACCCAGATTGCCTCAATTCTAGTCCTGCACTCTTAACTACGGCATCACACCAGCTCTCAAAACACCAGATGCAATCATATTTTTTATGTATATCTAATTTTTCTTCAGAAAAATGCAGATGTTTTGCACTAAGATTTTCACAAACATCATTTCTGAAATACCTTAAGTACCAACCACCTGTCTTTCCTCTTGCACATCAAAGCAATTAATAGGGATTTTTATATACAGAAGACAGCTTCTTGCAGCTGCTTGATATTCTCATATGGGATTACTGATAGTTTGGTGGTTTCTTCTGATTTTTATCCTTATATGAATGTTTTCAATGTTTTCTATACTTCCTTTGATCCTACTTGCCTTTTTTGTCTTTTGCAAATAATATGCTCAGATATAGCAGGAATAATTTTCTTTTTTAAGATCTCATCTAAATCCAAAGAGATATGCAACCTCACTCCAAAAAACATAATTTTTGTACTTTAAAGGGTTTTTTAAAAATTATTTTACAGTAAGGGTCTGATCCATTGTTCTCCACATTGGTTGCATGTTAAGCCTTCAAATTCAGAGACTCACGTACGTCATGTACATGATGTTGTAGCAATTGTTGTTGGCCATCTAAGTGAAGCGCTTTGGAGGAGGAAGATGGGGGTCCTCTGCCATGCCCCTTTCCTGCTTTTTGAGGCTTATTTGCAACCATGGGAAAGCAGTTGGTGTGGTCCTTTCTGCACCAGCTCCAAAGAAGGCAGGGTAGAGGCTTGAAATTCAGAGGCCTAGCTCCAGGGTCACACGACCTTGCACCTGGGGCTCCAAATGATCCTATAGCCCCACAGACAATGTTGGGAGACCATACAGTTATACCTTAAGAGGTTCAATTTGCTCAGTATTTTTTCAGCTTCGATCCCTGGTGAGTTAGAGTGCTTTGAGAATTTGGGTGCCCAGCTAGAGCAAACAGGGCATTAAAATAGAATGTTGCATGTGAGATTGGTAGCCAAATCAATGTTTCTCTAAATATATGTGTGGTGTTGTTTACAGAGGAAGACTCTTAATGAGAATAAGCAAAAGAAATTGCTGAAAAAAATAGAGCTTTTAGAAGCCAAAAGAGAAGAACTAGAAACTGAAAATCAAGTATTAAACAGGTATAAATAGGTGTGGCTTGGACTTGAAATTGTACTTTATTTCATATATATATATATATATATATATATATATATATATAAATTAGCATTGTTCCCCAAATTATTTGCTAATTCCTTTGTGGTGGTGGCTTTTGCACATTTGCAGAAAACATCATTCCATTTCAAACTCTTCTGTTGGAATTCTTTACGAAATATTTTTATCAATTATTTCAGACAGAATGTTCCTTTTGAAGAACATATTCGCCTTCAGAAAAGACTAAAGGATTTACAGCGTAGGCATAATGAATTCCGCAGGTTAATTCTGTTTCCTAATATTCCAACACTGAATCCAGTCAGCTTACTATCTTCAACTTTGATTGCTGGACCAGAACCATCCTTTCCTCTGTTGCAGGTAGGTCACATGCTACATCCTGAAGGAGATGGTTTAATGTGATAAAAGTAATAAAATAAGCTTGTACTAGCAGGTTGTTCAAAAATTAAAGCATGAAGTAAATATTTTTGGAAGTTTTAGATATGAGAATCATCTAAACCAATGTTACATATAGGTGGTGATAAAGATTGAAGCTGTAAACCCAAAATTCAAAGCTCTGGTATAGGCATGGCTAGTGAAAGTTTTAACTCGATTTCTTTAAGTGGCAGAGTCCTGTGCCATGTCACAAATTGTTCTTAAACATCTATTTCAAAAGCAGTTTGCCATGTGACATAGATAACTGCTGTCTGGAAACTAGAACTCCAATCCCTGCCCCATTGTTTGTGTTGTTCTTTTAATCCTAGCTTTATAAAATGTATTTAATTTTTAAAAAATATCCCACTATTTACAGTGTCTCAGGGCACTGATAACATAAATAAGACACAGTATCACAATAATATATAAAATCGATGTTGGAAACAATACAAACTTATAAAATGCTGGGAAAATAAAATATTGCAGTTTCCGTATTTGTTTAATGAGGTCTTATTAGAACTTTTTTAGTTAAGCTGTACAAGAACATCTTGAACTTGGTAGTTGCAGGAAGTCTCTTAATGGGCCAGTATAATCTTCAAATAAGCTATAGCACACGATATGGTGTCAAGCTGGTTTTCAATGCTGAACAAATTTGCCAAGTTTGCAAAGACAATTTCATTCAAATGTGCACTGCTTGTTTCTATAGTGGAACATCTAGTTTAAATCCACAAAGATACTAACACAGCAGATTGTTTTTTCCATAATTGAAAGTCCTCAAATATATAAAAAAATGAAAGAGTTACTAGCATATCCAATCTATAAACATTGCTTAATATATTGTTATTTCCTCCTGGCTCTCTTCTTAATTTCAAGGAGGAACAGCATCAAAGAGAGCTCTCCCTGCTTCGCAAACGTCTGGAAGAACTAGAAACTACACAGAGAAAACAGTTGAGAGAGCTTGGGGCTTCAAATGAGCGATCTCGGTCGGTAGTAAGTACAGATTCAAACGCTGATAGAAACAAGCTTGTTGAAGAGTATGATCTACCATCTGGGGATGCCAAATAAAAACTAAACTCTAAATCATTACTTTCCATACTTTGCCAAAATCACTGAACCTAGAAGTGCCTTGAAATATAGGAAAGGTCTAACTATTCTGCATAATTTTGTATTTTAATACATTTTTAAACAACATATGACAAGTAAAATTAATGTTGAGGCAATCTTATATTGTAAGAAATGTTGCACTAAAAGCTTTTCTCTAACAAGACCATTTTCAAGTTGCTAAGACAGCTTGGTCATTTGAAAAAAAAAAATACTGGAAAGTTTCCACTTCTATGTATCATGTTTTCCAACTTTTACCAGTACTTGAGTCTCCTTAAGACTGGCATCATGCAATTAAAATACTGAAATAATTAAAAACTAAATCAGTCAACATTTGTTGTGAAGGCAGGTAAGATTTTGGGATTATGATATATGTATTTTAACTTTATAAAGAACTGTCTGCACTTTAATATAATGAATTATGAAAAGAAGTAATCAAGTTTTTAAAATTATTATAAGTGAAATATGAAGCCTGTATATGCTTTTAACCTTATCCAGAGAAAGTGATTTTTTGTTGTGAAGGAAATTTTTATTAAAGTGATCATATCTATTTATTATATTTTTGTAAACTCTAACTTGTTGTGTGTTTGATTTAATTCCAGTATTGGTAAGAAAGTACTAGTTTGGGATCACTGTTTTTTCTTTCTGAGGTAGGTCAGGCTGGGAATGAGTGTATAGTTATTTTATAACTATTTTCCATCTGACACTGATGCAGCGCATTTGGGCTGGGATGCTTATTTGCTGTGTGGATAAGAATCTGAATTTAGGAAAAAGTGGAGAATAATTTCTGTTGTGAGCTGATGTTCCTTCTTTGACCATTTTCCATGTTTCAAAGTACAAATCACCTACTCTATGCATGCACAGGATTAATTGTTGAACTCATTCTAGAGTTTAGCTCCAAGAAATCTTCTTATGAATATGCTGGGCCCCATCCCTTTGGGAGGGGCTTTCTGTAAGTGAGCACACCTCTTCTCTGCATGTTGCCCATTCAGTTGGGTCTGCTGCTGCTGCCTTACCATGGGGTTGAGCACAAAGGGGTGGACCTGGTCTGCATCTGAAAATTTCTCATTCTCAGAGGCCCCTCTGGTTTGGCAAAGGGGCTCGCCTTGAAATTATCACATCGCCTTCCCTCTTCTTAGAATCTCGACCTAGCCCATTCTCCACAGTCCCACTATAATCTTTTTCACTTTCTGATTTTGAAGACTCTGAGAGGCAATTTTGGGCAATCTCAGAAGCCTGTGAGATTGCCCAAGTCTGATATCCTCCTTATCCCCAACCCTTCCTCGTTGTACATCAGTCTCCTTCAAAGTATCTGACTTCTTGTATAGAGTGATCACCTCAGTTGTTGGGCTGCTGTTTGGCAAAAAAAAGGCAGACCAATGCCCAGGCTGTGTTAATGTCTCATACTGCATCCTATATGGCAGTGGAATGGCAAGGAGCATACTCTCATTGCATTAGATAAAGCTTCAAGGTCAAAACCAAAATGAGTGAGAGGTGATTTCATGCCACTCTGTTTTTGTATTCACAAAGCAGTGGCTCTATAATTGAAACTGTATAAATACCAGTTCTGAAACAATTTGTCCTATTTAAATTAACCCCTTTAAATAATGTGAATAATGATGCATGGGCTTGAAAAGTTGGAGCACATGTTAAGCAAAATTTCTAAGCTGAACAAAACTAACTACAAAACTGAACATCAGATACTTTGTATTTAAAATAAAACATTTCATGTAAACACCCTCTGTTTTTACCTATTTGCATATTGTATATAAATATTTGTTTCAAAGAATAGGAATTATTCTTACATATATTTTGGTCAGAGGAACCATTTACCTCTGAAAATAAGTTCCAATTTTACAGTTACAGTAATAATGATGTAATATGGCTTCATCAGCAGATTTCCACGAACATTACATTTCACTTGTTCTTCTAAGTGATGCAATACATCATAAATATGGAACCAGTCAAAGGCTCTACAATCAGTACACTGTTTTGCAGTACTCCAATGATTTCCACATTACTTTTGTAAGCTAAGGCAAGTTCCCTGGAAGGAGGCTTTGCATAGCCTTGGTCCGTTGGCTATTTTCCATTGGAAAAGAGAAGGTATACTTTAGTTGTCACAATCCAACATGTTTAAGCACCTGTAAGTATTTGGTTGTGGTTTATGATAAGATCACTTTCACATGCTTTTTGATGTGATGTTTTCTTATGGAGTGGTGATCTACCAACTCACTTTTGTTTGTAGAAAGCCCACCTGTGAAAGTATTTAGATAAATACATCCCTACATACAGTCTTTCTGAGTTGACTATACTTATCGTATAATTTTTGCCCCAGAAGTTATTTTCAGGGAAGTAAGTTATCTGTCTGTGCTAATTTACCTACTGTGCAGAAGACTTTAATAGATTTCCTTTTAAACTGTACTGCTGATGTTTGCAAATGTACAGTCATAACTCAAGTACCTACACTTCCACTGTTGAGATGTTTGTTGTAAGGGGGTTGTTTTGCACTGTTTTGCTTAAAGATTAGTGCACTATCAAAGTATCTCCTAGGAATTGTGCATATACTAAGTGATCAATTCATCTGATTATTTTAATTTCACATTGAAATTGAAATAACTGCAATACGTTGAAATATGTACATGTTCAATTCCTAAAGGTCAGCCTGTTGTTGTAATTTTTATAAAAGTGGTATTTCCCATACTCCCCAAGTCATTAGCTTTTAACATTTTCTGAAGGAAGTAAATGAGAAAAGCTGTAGCAGTAATTTTATATCTCTTGCTCTATCTTTCAATATAGATATATAGCAGTTTCCACCTTTTTGTTTGCTTTTAGTTGTTCACTAAGAAACAACAGATTAACAAAGAATCAGACTTTGTTTCCATGAATATGTAAGCTCTCCTTTCTGTATTGCTGGAGAAATGTGTATACCTAACTGGGATAAGGATAAATGGCTTTTAAAAGCTTCTGTTTTCCCTCTTCCTCATTACTGGGAGGTAGCAGACATTTCACATGTTTAGATAATACATTTTGTAGCATTGTGTCTGACAACCAACCATTTTTCCTACAGCAAATATTATGCTATTCCTGAATGAGTCAGCTCAGTAATATTGGTGCTTTATGTGATTCTTCCCAGCTAATAGGACTGTGCTGTCTGTAGAAGCTATTTGGCAAGAGTATGGTATAATGTCTTGTCTTTGTTACATTATGTACTAGCAAATCTATATTTCATTTAATGCAGGAACTCTCCCACTTGTGTGCAGTTTTTTAAATAAATGACTGCAGGCAAAAATTAAGTTACCAGGCAAGTGGGAAGAGGACATGCTCAGTTGAGCAGCGCCTCAAAAAAGGTGGCATCAGGTAAGCAGGGACTCCAGAAAGATGTGGTCCTGGGTGTATTGCTGTGAGCAGGGGTTGGTGGTAAGAATTAAAGGAGCTTGAATGAAGCAGTTCCCATATCCCAAGTAGAAGGAAGGCAGTGAACCTGATTAGACCAGAATAGAAGGCAGACTATGATAAAAACCTAGTGCTGCAGAGAGAAGGAAGGCGAAGGACAACATAAATAGCAAATCCCACTAGTTTATTATGACTGGGCACAGCTACAGTTAACAGAAACACATTGTGCAGACTACAATGCATGTAGAAAGAGTATAGGGCTTCTCCATTGGAATGCGCTGGAGGCCCCCGATACTACTCTGTCACATGTTCTGGTCATAATGCAATCTGACCAGTCATTTATGGTAACTTGGGGCCTCTTACAAGCATCCAGTGCCCTCCTTCCTAACAGTCTCAAGTACTCAAGCTCAAAGTGGCAAGAACAGCATATATTTGTGCTTCTGCAGGAATAAGAGGGAGGACCTTTAAGGTTCACATTCTATCAAGTTCAGTAAGGACATGGAAACTATTTAAAAAATTGCCCTGTAGAGCACATTGCTTAAAATGAAATGCTCTGCACCTTTTAAAATAAAAGCAGCATATATATCAATGATGTACAGTGAAATTGTTTACACTACTGCCAAAATTACTTGCTTGCTTCCATAAGGCAAGAGAGATCTGTACATCACAGCAGTCTTCCACTGGGAGAGAGATGGGCCTGGCAGTACATTATTGATCACTGAACTGAGGGAGTCAGTCTTTTGATACAGCTGGAGATGATAGTTTGAATTCTGTTTAGTGACAGTTATTAAAATCCATCCCTGTTGGGGATCATTAAACTCTTCTTAAATCCACTTGCATTTCTTCTTTGTATCAAACAAATCTTTTACATTTAGGAGCTGTTTCTGAGCTTCTTCTAGCCCTCGTTCTTTATCCAATTTATTCAGTATCTATGGAAACAAAGAAATGTGCTTATTTATTTTAACACATTCTTTCAACATCAGAGTAATTTTGCCTGAGCGAATCCTCCCCTCTAAATCAGGTTATTTTTGCACAAGTTTTACAAGTCATTACCAATCACATGATAAACAACACTTCTGCTGACAAGAGCAACCTCAGAAAAAACCACAGATGTTTTAGTTGATGCAAGTCCATAGCAGAAGCATGCTGTGAAGCTTGTAACAGTAGCAGGGAACTCCTGTCTTCAACAGTCACTGAAAAACAGTGTCACAGCTGTGGAAGCTGCTGGCAATATTAAGAGCTGAACAAAAACATGTCAAGTAGCACATCATTTACTCCTTAGGTGCTCATAGGTGGCCAAATTACACAATTTCAAACATTTCAGCATGCACTTAAGTTGTAAGAATTCAGCTTGAGTTGAGGGACCCAGTCACATCCATAAATGACACATGGATTGTGCACAGAGAATTGAAAGCTATAGATTGGATCCTGATCAAATTGCTCTGGAAGAGGTGGACTTTCCCTTCCTTTCCCCTGCTCCAAGGCTTCCAAAAATGCTACCTAGAAACCAGGTTTGCATGATCAAAAGGCCACATGGCTTAAGTTATAGAGCTTGATGCCTATAATCACTACCCAGGCTCAGCTTTTCTTGTCAAGACAACAGTTGTGTTTGCATGGTGATTATGGAAATTGTGCTTTCTCCTGCCCCACCCCTCCCACATGTCTATTGTAGTAAGCAATAGCTAGTGCATGTGTGCTTTCCATTCGGGTCAATTAAAAACCACGCCAAGATCATGATTTGCAGTACTAATTTGAAAGGCAAGTCCAAACACCAGATGCAGGTGCCAGCTGTGATAGTCCGTAGAAGGAATGGACTTGCACTACACAAGAGGAGAAAAAAATAGGAAGGACAGCTCAAATGACAAGCCATATTTATATACTGCCATATGAAAATTTGGCATTACATAGGGATGAAACTATACATTTTGGCTAAACTCCAATAGTTTATGTGTGCTGCCCATTACAAATTTGCTGAGCTTTTCATTCCCTAAGAAGCTGGAATGATGAAGACTGCTCTTAGCCTGATAGCATAGAATAATCTTATGCTCCTCGAGCAAATCCCCCAGGGCCACAGGACAGCTTGATAAAAACTTTCCAAGATTAGAGACAGTGCTCCAACCTTGGAAGGGCAAGTTGCAGCTCCCACACCAGACTTCTGCACTCACAGCCAATCTAGACAGAACCATGCCAGTTGCTTCTCCAAGATCAGGAAAGCAACTCAGGCAAAAAGGGCCGTTCCACTGGTTTGGGAGACTGGTAAGACCAGCTATAAGTTATCCAGCTATCCTTCCCTACCCCTCTCTAGGTCATCTAGCAAAAATCAGAGATAAAGATTGCTTATGTTGCTCTGCTGACATTGCCAGCTTCAGACCAGCAGAGTTTAGGAGACTCAGAAACCTCTGATTTTGGGGTTTTCTAAGCAGCCAGTCACTGTTAGAATTTCACTGCCACAATCATAGTACAATTTTAAAAATCAGAGTGCATCTCAAACATTTGTACAGTGTGTGCACGAGAGAGAGAGAGAGAGAGAGAGAGAGAGAGAGAGAGAGAGAGAGAGAGAGAGAGAGAGAGAGAGAGAGAGAGAGAGAGAGAGAGTTTAATTAGACAAAATGGAAGACCGCCTTACTTCATCAAAATATCTTGCAATGTATTGGTAAATTTTATTCAAGGCCACAGCTTCATTAAATTCATTTTCATGTTTCTAGGGGGAAAAGGAAGAAGTTGGTGAAACAGTTCATATTAAAGGATAACTTAATAATAGTACTAGTAGCATATAATAAAAAGGATAACATTCAGTCTATAGTTCAGTTATGCATAGGGCTTTCACTATCTGTTTAAGAAGCCTCCCCACAAGCTCACTTCCCCTCCCTTGCCCAGCAGGGCTAAGAGCTCATCAAGTAGTCAGTTGCTTACTGGAACTAAGTGCTTTTCTGTGCAGGGGAGAGGAAGCAAGATCCAGGGAGGAAGTTGCTGATATAATCCCACTTACCTCTGAGGCTTGCCCTGCACAGTATTGCCCTGCTTATTTATGGCAGAGCATGCTATTCAGGCCTTGAGTACACATGCAACGGCCTGTTCACTGTTTGATAGTGCTGCTGAGTAGCCAAGTCCGCTTGCTTCTGTGTAAGCTTAAAGCCAGTAATTCAAATGTGTTCAAGCCCATTTTGCAATACAGACAGACCTAATCCAGATTGGAATTTGGCCCTTGGTCAAAAAAAAAAAAAAAAGTAAAGTTCCCCACCTGGCATATAAATTAGATTAGATTGTAAATATACATAAAGTCACAGTATGTGTACTTGTGTATTTGCATATATTTGAGTTTGTGAAGTTTCATCCACACACAAATAACTAAACTGATACCTTTGATTCCTGAGTTAAAAATTCTTCTAGCTCTGAAGTAGATAACGAAGGCAAATCCTTTATTGCTTTATAAAAAGCTTTGACTTCCTCTCTATAAAGTGGAATATCCTTTGCATAAAGAAGTTTATTTGTTGGTGCTTCCTTAAAAAATAAAAAGTTAGAAAATCCTGGTAAATTGTCACAAGTTTGAAGCGAAGTATTTTTCTAGCATGTCTGTGAAAACCTGATGAAGGAATTCTTAACAAGTGATTGCAATGCAAATGATAAGAACAGTTATTACAATAAAACACAGCAGGGAACAGAAAAACAGTATCGAAATAATTTGTTCTGTTCAGCAGTTAAAAGATTTAAACACCCAGGTAAATAAAAGGTTCTTAGCCTAACACCAGGAAGGTATCAGGGTGAGTGGCAAGGTTTTTTTTCTTTGTGAAAGCAAGTTTCTTCCTGAAGGAAATATTCCATAGGTGAGGCACCACAAACAAAATGCTCTTTCTCCCCAGGCACCTAAAGATAATAGAAATACCCAGAGGGACATTACCTCATTGAATAATCTAGATAATTTCATTTCTGTTCTTGAATTATGCAGACATGCCCTGTATGCAATCTTGTACCTGACAGGAATGGCATTCTTTTTGCAACAAATTGTAGCAAATTCCCAAATTTACTCTTGAATTAGACAAAATTACATTTTAATGCTTTAACTGATAGGGGAATGTGCATTTTTTAAAAGAACACACAGAAAATGCCCCCTTTTTCCCACTTAAAATGGGCACTTTGTCCATTTGAACAAGCTGAAAAAGAGGCCTATAAAAGAAAATGGAACAGAACGAAATTAGCTTTGCCATGCTGCTATCATTGCGTTGCTATGTGTTGCTATGTTGCTGGTGGCTCTGCTTACCTAGCGGGTCACAGAAGGTGTAGACTTGCTTATTGCAGCCAAAACAATGAGCAACCCACCTGAATTAAAAGCAAGTGCTGCTTGGTAACGGGTAATTCTTGCCCAGTGTGTGCATACCGGCTGTTACTGAGACATTGGTCAGTTAAAAAGTTGTCAGGTAAGTCTTACTTTATGATTAACACATAGGACACTTCTTAAAAGTCCATGCAGCAGGCTCTGGGCACAGCTAGAAATTTCTCTGAAGCTTTTACCAGAGCCATCCGCATAACTGAAAAGCTTTGTCTTCCTTTCAAATGGAAATCCACTTTAGTGCAGTCATTCACATGCTGGACTCAAACTTTAAGAGATCTGCATTCCAGTCCCCACTCAGCCGTGAAGCCAGCTGGGTAAATTTGGACCAGTCACTGATTCTCAGCCTAACCTACTTTACAGGGCTGCTGTGAGGATCTTAAAAAAAATGAAGAGAAGGCCCATATAAGCCACCTTTACTTATTTCCAAAAGGAAGAGACATGGGATATAAATGTATTATTAAATACATAAAATTTGATAGTTTAGATAATTAAACTGTTAATGTATGATTTTAACATTTGCTTCATCAGTATAATCATGTGCAGTAGAAACTTAAATAAGACACATCCTGCATTTCAGAAATTCCTTTTCCTACTTCTGGTGGATTCCTACTTTCTTCTGGTGGATTAACCTGATCAAGACACAGCACTAATAATCTCTAGAGCACACCTAATTTTCTGTTGCTTAATTCTATTTTCAAAGGTACTTTATAAGAAACAATTTGAAATGACAATTTGGTTTCACATACCCTATTGCCACTCAAGCTGTCTGGGGATGAAAGTACTGAATGCGAACTATACTTGTACTCCGCTTTCCTAAACTACTTACCATGCCTCATTTAGTAAGCAGGTCAATTCAGCAAGGATTGTAATATACACAAACCCAAATGCCAGAGTCCATTAATTGTGAGCAGTTACTTCCCTTTTGGGTGCCTGGCACTAATTCCACATGGAAGCTTTTACTAGCTCAAAGAATATATTTTTAATGGAATTAGATCCATTAAATGGTCTGATTACTCAGAATGGGCTGGAGTAAAGCCATTACTTTCAACAGAAAGATGAGGAATACTGTTGAGCAAGTAGTTTAGAAGACATAGTCTAAGGAGAGAATATTGTATCACGTAAGAATGAGCTACTACCTTTCCCAGTTGTTGCTCTGATAGAGAAAAGGCATCCATGAATGCTTGTGCAATTACAGACAAACAGCCATCTATGTGTGGAGTCTTTTTAATATCAAATACAAATTGAGGATTCTTCAATATATTCACCCAAAATCGAAGAGGAAGACTAGACAAGAGAAAAAACAAATTTCAAACAAGTCACTAAAAGTTCTATCTGTCCTTCATGATACCAACTAATAAGCAAAACAAAAACACAAGCTATGTCCTCACCTTTTGAAACATTTTCAATTAGCTTTTCAGTGCTGAACATATTTCCCACACAACAGTACCTGCTGGGAAGGTACTTTACAATAAGGACGTATCATAAATACCTACCTGTTTGTTTTCCATATATGGATCACATCAGGATCTGTAATTTTTTTATTTTCAACTTGAGCATCCAGAAAATCAAAAAAATATTTGATAGCTACTGGTGCTTTATTATTAGGCAAAGTCCAAATGCTCCTAAAGAGCTTTTCAACAACTGAATGAATGGCAACCTGTCAAGAGAAGAAAAAGGTTATTTCATTACAGGTAGACTGCTATCCAAATCAAGGCAATTTGTCCAACAAGATAAAAAAAACTCCCTCTCAGGAACTTCCCATAACACATGCAAAAAATCCTGCACCCAGAACTTGGGGTGCAAGCACATACAATGGAATGTACCTCATTATATCTAGAATTACCACTATCACAGAAGCACTTTTTGACAGAACCATATTCTTACCTAGTACAAATACAGTTTGCCCCCCCCCCCGCCCTTCTCCAGCAATGATCAAGTGCTTCGTCAAATCACTACAACTCAAAATAGCTCCTATGGTTCTGTCACATCCTAGTTTTACTTCAACAGGGCAGCTCTGCATGCAAAGTGATGAACTCCTTATGTCATTGAACACAGAAGCCCACTCAAGCTGCAAGGATGCAGGGGAATATCCATGCAACAAGGAATAACTAGATGGATGTGACCGAAATCAAGGTTGTTTTCCTTGGGTAAATATGCACTGGAATGTGCTGGTTAAGAGAGGTATCTATTTGTAATGCTTCATGCTTTTTTCTGATCTAGTTCCAAATATAATTCAGGAGTTACCTTTGTAGACAGGAGCTTAGTGAGATACATTTCCTTCACTTTAAATTTTTGTTTTCCTGTATGTTTTGCACCTTGAGTCTCTTTGGCTGCTTCAGAGTCTGGCAATATCTACAAAAAGATTTACACAAATGTCATGACAATGCAGTGATTAAGAGAGTAAACAAGAAATTGTTAGTAATGTTGACTTACCAGATGACAATAGTCATCAGCATATTCGCCATCTAAGCAACATGTGAGAGAAAAGGGTAAATTAAATGCATATGGTAAAGAGAATTAACCTGTTGCCTAGAAAGGGCTTTTTAATCCATGTTCAACTATATTCAGATTACACAAATATTGATATTCCCACCAATCTAGATGTAAAATACAGATGTGTAAACCAAATGAATGATCAACATAATTAGTTTTGCTACTTCCTTTCATTAGCTAGTGCATTTAGTTAGTTTACATCTATCACAAAGTATTCCAATTAACTGGAAACAGGCTGAACTAGGGGGTGAAATGTGACTCATAACATACTTCAACATTTCTTGAAATCAGCCTTACATTACTTTGACTCGGAACTCTCAGGATGATTTCACAATGTATAAAAGCACTAATTCAGCATCTAATTTGCTCTTACTTGGTGCTCCATATTCAGATGTAGTCTATTCAAGCAATACCTCAGGCCGAAGACAAACAAGAAATGTGGCCTTCATGATCTGTATGTCAGCAGCCCAGAACCATCCAAATGCTCATTGCTGGCAACAGAATATTTGGTAGACTTCTCATCTAGTTAGCCAGAATTTGTTAAACTTTATACATAGTTCTGCTGCCTCTGAATTATGGCTGAATTGTACATTCCTGCAAATTCTCTACAGAGCTATTGCAATTACATAAAACCATGTCCACTGCTTTCAGTACCTGATAGCTGTACTTCCTTCTTAAAGACTTTAATAGTTGCTTCATCTAAAATCTGAAAAAGAAAAACAAATCTATAACAGACACATTTCTACAAACATGTATCAAGTCCTCATACTTTACATGCGTTTTCCTAATGTTAATAGCCAAAGCAAAAATGTGTGGTGTTCTCACAATCTTAGTTCTCAACTCTGGAGGACAGCCCTTTTTTCTTTCTATTTGGGAGGTACGGCTTCTAGACAATGGGAACTAATACAGGAGAGTTTTTCCAGCCTATTGCGGCCAGCCAGTCCTGCTATAAATCTTTGCACGTTACAGTTTGGGGGATACACATTTTTAAAGGCAGATTCTTTAAGAACAGACCTTCATTATAAAATGTAATGTGAGAATGAGACTTGTTTGGATATGTAAGTATCACACTATTCCTCAGAAGTCCAGCCTTACTACAGCTCCTCTGAGCTACACCCAGTTCATGTAGGAAAACTGCTGAAACACGGAATACTTGATATACTCTTGCTAAATTCAGCGAAGAATAGAATAGCAGAATTCAGAACTTGGGGGAAGAACAGAAACACTGAAGGAAAAAAAATAGGGATGTACACATGAGATGTACAATGGCCTCTGTTGGGTGAAGAAAGACCAGGGACACAGATAAGGGTGCAGAATGACTTGTGCCAGTGCACAGAGGCGATTATTCTAAAGGATTCAGAGACAAAAGGGCTTGACACAGGATTGCAGCCTTCCCCACTTTCAACTTCATGAGTCCTCTTGTTCTTAAATACCATCAAGTCATCTGACTTACGGCAACCCTATGAATCAGTGCTCTCCAAAATGACCTGCCCTTGACTACCCTGTTCAGTTCTTGTAAATTTCAGGCAGTGAGAATCCTTTATGGAACTGATCCATTTCACATTTGATCTTCCTCTTCTGCTGCCATCTCTGCTTTTAACCTTACCCAGCATTATTATCCTCCAGTGAGTCTACATCTCTTCCAATTAAATAGCCTATTTAATTTCTACTTTTTAAACTTCTGGTGATGTTGATTTGTCAGACTATAATTCTGGGTATGGGAAAAGTATGCTCAGTTTTAGGCCAAGGATGATGAGTCTTCTGTAGGTAGATTATGTTTTTCACTGAGTTTTACCATTGGCATGGGTTTGAGGGAACAAACAGATTGAACAACTAAAAACTGACAAATGATTTCAGGGTGCTTTACAATAACAAAACAAAACATACTAAACATTTCAAGGTAATACAAAGAAACGTGGCTGCTAGAAAAGAAAGGTCTGTTTACAGTGAATGTGAGTTTGTTTTATATTTCTAGTACTACTTTCTTTTTGTTTATAGCAACCAAGATCAATACTGAATACTGTAAAAATGTCAAAATATGCCCAGCTTCTTAAGAGATTTATATGAATCTTCCTTCCTACCCATCTATCTACATATACTGTACTGTTAGAACTAAAAACATTCTCCTAAATTCTCTTGGTGAACTAGACTGTTGCTGTCAAATAGTTAAGCTAAAGGTAATTTATCTGCGACAGCTTGATATTATATATTTTCAAAATGATAGCATAAGATGTTCTTCAATTGCTGAAATTACTCTTTCAGGATAGAGTACTTGCCAAAGATGGGAAAGCAGATAGGTATTACAGAGTATGGCAGCCAGCCCAGAGGGAAACTAGTTTGCTACTGAGACACTTTTAGAAAGACTGTTGTTTGCCAAAAGTATCTTGCAGCTACAGTGAAAGGGAAGAAGTCCTAGAAAAAACTAATCCAGTTCAATTACTGAATATGTGATGACCTGAAATAGGAAACATACAAAACAGACTGCTAAGGGGCACACAAAGTGCTTATTATCAAGCCACTGATTGGTATAGCAAGATGAGTATGGCTTCCAACTATTGTGAACAGACATGTTTTTTTTCTAGCCTGATACTTGAAATATTTTTAACTGATGAGTGTAGTGACTGAAGCTGGTACCTTGGGTGTGCAAAAACAGGTGCTCTAACATTGAGCTTTTAGAAAGAATATGTAGCACAAGCAAGTGAAGATAATGTGACTATCATAAAGTCAACAGATGCTTCAGAAGACACCCAGTAGAAACAGAAATAGTAAATTAACATTTTAAAAAGGAGCAGAGAAGAAAACAGTTGTGCACCAGAAAATGCCTTGTGTCAGATCATCACACTGTAAGAGCACTTGATTTGGGTACTTGAGAAAACTGGATTTGTCTGGATAAGTGTGTGTCAACAAACTTCACCTTTACAATAAAATTATAGACTATACTGAGCACATGTAGAATGTTCTGGCACTTTGGTAAGGCTTCAGCAGAATCTTACGCTGCTTTCTCAGAAACAAAGTAAGGGAAAAGAGGAAAGATTTTCCTACTTTATGTCAATGCACAATCACCTAGAAAAATGCCCAATAAGTAAATCTAATGGTTGAGCCTGGAGGCCTCTGGGTTTCATGGTCCTGCAGTTAAAATACTGAAACATACCTCTTGTATGATTCCAGATGTCCCATAAGGCCACCTTTCATTTAGGCAGAAATGCTTTGTACACTCATTTGAGAGTAAAAACCACTGAATTCACATGAAATTACCTTTAAGGGAATTTATTTGAACTGTGCAGCATATACCGAAACTAATTTGAAGAACATAATTGCAAGGTCCTATCAATTTCATTTGGAGCAATTTGTAATTTCAGCTGGAGCTGAAATGCTTGCTGTTGCTGTTCCAACTATTCTGGTCTGCAAAAAGTCCTCATTTTGTATATTTACTTATTCAAAAATTACTGTTTTTTATCATTTATGAACAGTTAGTCATATAATTTATGACTAAGACTCTTTCAGCCAGGTATACATGGACATGTAGTTTGGCTGACAGCAAAACTGCATGCAGAAGTAAGTCCCACTAGGTACAGCAGGAACTTACTTCCAGGCAAGAGTGTAGAAGACTCCAGTCTAAGAGATTTCCTGCAGACAGATATTAAGCAATGGCATTGGCAAGAGAATTCTGCTCTGTCTTTCAGTGATTGTTTATTAAGGGAGACTCTTCCCTACAAAAACAAATCTTCAGCAAAGTAAGGAATCTTGTTCTTACCCCATAATGGCCTATGGTGTTCAGCTTGGTAATTCCGTCTTGCAGAATCACAGTGGAACTATCAACATCCAAAAGTTCTTTGGCTTGTGTGCCTGACTGAAGAGCTGCCAAATGATTACATGGAAAACCCTTACAAGATGAGCTTATGTTGTGCTTAGCTTTAAGACGACAAAACTGGTGTGTTCTGGTATCCTTAAATGCTCGTCCGAATTTTCAGAATAGGACACCCTGCTAAGTATTTGCACAGACGTAGCTGGGTTTGTGCACGCCTTGAAATCCTATTACGTTTCTTCCCTGCCACAGACCCTTTCCACTAATGTCTGTATCACAATGGAGCTTTGTGAGCAGCAGCAGAGCTGAGATGGTCATGTGGAAATGGGTAAGCGAGTACTGGAACAGGTTGTGACATCATGCATGCTACCTGAGCATTCCTTTGGGCCATCCCTAGATGCTTGCTAGCACACATGATATAGCAGCCTAACCGTAACCCACAAAAAGTAATAATCTGATCAGTTAAAATTAATGAACCTCATAATACATTGAAGGTCTCACTAGTCATCTGTTAAAAACAAATGGAAAAATATTGTCGTTAACAATGAATGCAATGCCTTACCAAGGCCCATTTCACTGAGTTGAAGACCGAAAGGAAAGCCATTCTTGTTTAGAAAGGCTTGCAGGATCTTTTCTTTGGCTTGCCCTATGGTGTCACAATCCAGGACATTAACTTGGATTTTCATAGTAGTGCCTTCACTCTCATTTTCTTGGATTTTTTCAAAGACGACATCTAATACCTGAAAAAATGCAAGTGTTATTTCACACTGACTTTGACAGTACAACCCAGACAGGAATTTTTCTGTAGATATGCATGCATGCAATCATACAATGAGGATTTATTTATCATTAGACTCCATATTAGCAAATCTTGCATGACATCAGGGAAGGGTCATAGAGATTTCTCAAAAATATCCTCACACTTCATATTTATTTATGAGCCAGGGAGAACTGAGCATGTTGGGCAAGCTCAGACAAGCCTGTGATCTGGTTCAGGCATCATGCTAAAACCCACAGTTTAGCTTTACTTATATGACCCTAATCCTGTCTTGCTTTTCCTCTTATGTTCTTTATTATGTGTTTCACTTAGTACTCTGTAGCAGGAAATTTTGTTTGAAAAGTGAATCTAGCGAACATGAGTGCAAGGTTAGGGTACCTGAGAAAATAATCAAAATAAACTATGTTAATTAAACTAACTACATTTTTTCAGATTTCTTTATAATTATTAGCTGAATACATGGGTTGCATTTTTTTCTGTTTATGCATCAACAGCATATTGTCAAGAGTTAATTTGTGACTTACTCAAAAGAAAAAGAAGAAGAAACACAGCTATTTTGCATTCTTTCTTGCCATGTGATATAGGCTGCCGTTATCTGCAGAACACTGTGGGTTTGTTTCCTCCGCTTCATTAAAAACATATTCAATATTTTGCTGTCCCTTTTATTATTCAGATGTATCTAAGCGTACAAGTTGCTATGTGGCACCAGAGTTATGATAAATGTAGCACTGGAGCATAAACAATAAGCAGGCAGGGTATAGGAAAGTTGAGGAGGGAAAGTTGGGTTCAGCTCTAGGCCATTCCTTTGCGCATGTACAACTATTCAAGTAGTGTGCTCAAAGTCTATTGCTACACAGCTAGCTAAAAAATGTGGGAAAGGCTTGGTGCATTATCTGAGATGAAAGGGCTTAAAAACCCTACATGGCTGAATTTCATTCACCATGACTAGCCCAACACAGAACAGTCATGCAAAATAAGCGAATATATTCAAGCTACATTAATCACAGAATGCACAACATTTTTATCATAACACATCTTCTCTTACACAAGTTTGTTGGTTTCATTGGCAGGACATACATTCACAAACATACCACTGTGCTGAATTCAGTTACTTGCCACAGTAACCAGTCTTCATTTAGTGTGTACAGGGCCTTGCAAGTTATTACATCCACAGGACCCTTGTTAATCCTTTGATTTAGGGTTGTTACAAGCATATAGAAAGGCTCCCCAACGGTTTCCTAAGAAACAAAATATAACTTGCTTATTCATAATTGCAGCATCCTAGTATGTGTACATTTAGTGGCAGAGACACGTGCAATTGGCACAGATTTATTTCTTCAGAATGCTTTAGGACCATCATTCAAACAGTGAGTAAGCAGGGCAATGTATCATAAAAACATAAAATACTTACATCTATAAAACTTAAAACCAGGAATTAATAAAAAACACAAAGTGACATTAACTACTGAAACCACAGTAGAGCATCATTATCTTCACCAACTGTTGCCTTGCCTAGCCTAGCCTAGCCTAGCCTAGCCTAGCCTAGCCTAGCCTAGCCTAGCCTAGCCAAAAAGAGAGTTCTCCACTGAAGTGCTGCTACCTAACAGATGCTGCTACTGTTTTTCATCAACTTAAGGAACTGGAGCAAGCAACAGATGAAAAGCGCAAAATTTGGGCAGGCTCATATTGCTCACATTATTAATTATACACATTTCAGTTTTTTCACACATTTCACAACAAGAGTGCTTGTTGTGAGAAATAGTGAAATGGTGATTGCACAGATGAATCTGGAAAGGCATTTCCTTCATCCCCAAATGTTTGCTTCGGCCATCTAGGATTCATCTTTCATATCAAAGCTCTCTAGATCAGTGGTTTTCAACCTTTCCACAGCTCAGGAGTTGCGAAAACAGGAAAACCACCTCAGGGACCGCTGAGGCAGAAACAAAAACCTTTTTATTCAAATGTTATTTTATTTGTTAATTTATTCATTTTATTCTTTGGCCAGGGCGACTTAATTTATATTGTTAATTTATATTGTTTTATTGAATTTTATTTATTTATGGTTTGTGAGCCGCCCAGAGGCTTCGGCGAATGGGGTGGCATAGAAGTCGCCTAGATAGATAGATAGATAGATAGCTGCCTCTTCATTCTCTGGGCCTCCCTGGTAGCACCAATGCACTCTCCACAAACATGAAGCCAACTAAGGAAGAGGTGGTGAAGCCTCCCCACAGACCAGCAGGAAATCTCTGATAGACTGGCACCGGTCTATGAACCTGTGGTTGAAAACCACTGCTTGAGATGCTCAAATGTGAATTTCCTATTCAGTTCATGCATTCAAAAGAATATGCATGTAGGTAGGAGCTACTCTAACAAGTAGTAATTTCTGCAAACAGATAATACAATATCCTATTATCCAGTTTTAGGTAGTGAAAAGATATAATACTTGCACGAAGAAAACCAGAGAGGCAAACAGACATCCAATTTGTCAGCAGCTTTTCTACCACCGATTCTGTACGTCGTAGCATCAACTTAGGATGTACATTGCTTGACTGTTCCATCAAATCCCTTGTCAAAACTTCTAGAATATTAGTTAAGTAGACCAAGTTTCTTTGTAGTGCAATTGTCAAGAAAGATGCAAACAAGCATCTGTTTATAAAAAAAGAATAAATCACTTTTAATAGATGCAAAATCTTCCTACCAGTTGCCATATTAAATCATAATGGATTACTAAGAACATCTGGAGAACAATAAAAAAGAACACCCTGTACAGGTGATCAGAGAGAAACATGGGTATATTTTTGGAATGAGTCAACATAAGATGTATTTCTGCCTGATAACATAAAGTAAGATCATGTATCTCACTGTAGACACACCACATGGAAAGGATTCAGACCGCAATTAACAAGCCGAATATCATTGTTCTAAACTTGACCACTCTACAGGCACCCAAGGTAGGATGGGAGCATAATAATTACTGTTTGGATTGATAGGCACCTGTGTTCTTAACGTATTATACAACTTCAGGTGGTGGGAAAGGGTCCCTTATAAGAGAGAAATAAAATGAACTGCCATCATTCAAAGCCATATAAAGAAGCACTTGTAAATTCTGTTAATCATTTTTGAGATGTTGCTTCTGATATTTCTTTTATGACATTTCATTAAAAAATGTAGTGGGGGATAACTTAAATCTTTCATTTGACTTCAACCCGGGAACACTGTGATCAGCCTTTACTCAAGTGCTATTCTGATCGCCCCTTTATGCCAACAGTCTCCAGTTATCATTCCTTTGGGTCCAAGCCAGTCATTAATAGGATGAATGGCTACTAGCATTTGTAAAACTGAACTCATTCACAAATATTAACATGAGAATTTCATTCTACAAAGAGTGCCGTCTACTGCAGTTTATCCTCAACATTCCATCCACTATATTATAAACTTAAGTTCTTAGTATGATCAATGTTTCTTGCTATTTTGAGGTACGTCCATCTTTGTGTGTCTAGGTAGTCAGCTCTATAAGGAACATGTGCATTCTCTTTCTTGCAGTTTCTTTAAGGAGAACTGATTCTGACTACTGGGCGAAGGCAAGAAATAATGGAAAAAATTTTGGAGAAAAAGTTTTGTTTGATTTAGTCAAAGGAAACCTGGCAATTTCATTCATAACTTACGATAACATATTTCCACAGCTTGAACAAGACAGGCTATAGCATACCTGTCTTTCACAGAGAAGGTTTTCTGTTTTTCAAGTGTGTGAATCAGAGTTACAAGAAAATTCTTGTTATTAATTAATGCATACAATGCTATACTGCTTTCATCCTTGTGATTTGGAACTCCACTCTGTAACAGTTGAAAGACATGAGCTGTTCATTTTTAATGTAAGTCACATTTAATTCCTAATTATAGCTACAAACAACATCTTTAGAAATCTACAATAAATGTGTTTATTGTTTTCAGATTAAGGAGGCAAATATAACCAGTTTCTGCTAACAAGTTTGGGGTTTTTCCCTCCCAGACTCATTACATTCCAAGATCCCTAAAGAAAAATAGAATGTGAAGAACCCAAATTAATTATTGGTCTTCCCCAGCCAATAGATGTTATGTCAACAATGCACTACAGAAATAGCCTTGTGTGTTTGTTCTGTGGATTAAAAGAAGGTTATTTGGCTTATATTTACACAGTTTTTAGATTTTGTGGAGGATAAAGATCATAAAAAGCATAACACACAAACTGGGATGAAAAGCAATAGAAAACTGCTCTACACATTTGAAATCTGCAATATTAAAAGTGTAAATAACATGCAATAATATAAATTGCCATTAGCTTTACTCTGCCCTGCCATGTTAATAAAAGTAACATGTAAATCATATGAATTGGAACATCTATGCATGAAAATACACTACAGTTCATCTCATGTTCTGTTTATTTATATAATCTATTTGTTGCATTCTCTGGATAGTCATTTTAAAATAAAATGCAGTGGAAAATGACAATGAAAATTCACTAGGAACACTAAACAAATTCTATTACTGAAGTATTTATTTCTGCTGAACTAGCTGCCAACCTTTGCAAAAGATTTAAAATTTAATGAAAAACACTTACAAGTGGCTCATTGGAATCTTCCATAAAGATAGACAAAGTGCCTCCAGCCTAAAAGAAAGTATTAGTTAATGTTACTGTAAGAAACCTCCAAAAATTGCAACACTAATAAATATAAAATATAAAAAGCCGTGGAATTTTTGGTTTCTCCATGTGGATAAACTTTATCTTTTACAAAGGAAGACAAGTTAGAATAAATTATGGATGCAAGATAGAAATGTTACCTAATAAGCAAATTATTTCTCACAGAAGGCTCTTAGCATAAACTGCCCCACATTCAGTGGGTTTAGAATATAGGCAAATTTAGTCTGAATTCACACAAGAATGTTCTGGGTTGAAATCAACTGGAAACAACATTTTAGGAGATTGTTTCATCACCTGCTCTGGTTAGGTGACCTGGTCCTCCTTTGGGTGCATTCAGAAACCTGTACTTGTGATAATTTATACCATACATAACTCTTTGTGGAACATATTCACAGTGTGTGCTCAAAGTGGTGCACAGTGTCCCATCAAGGAACAACAACCAAGAAAAGGAAAGATGAAACAGGCAGGCCTAGGAAGAAGCTGGATTTGCCTACCATCTCTCGTTTGCCAATCCAGGCAACACAGAAGAGCTGATTTGCAACCAGTATTGATGAATAATAGGACATGCTTTAGAGAAAGCAAAAGGTGGAAATCAGGATTATTTTTATTTATTTATTTATTTATTTATTTATTTATTTAAACATTTTTATGCCGCCCCATTCGCCGAAGCCTCGGGGCGGCTTACAACAAATAAGTTAAATAACATTTTAAAATATATACATTAAAATAAATTACAAATATACAATATAAAATAAGCTGCCCTGGCCAGAAAAATTCAATAATATTAACATTTAAAATGCTGCTTGAATATTAACATTTAAAATGCAGGAAATAAATCAACCCATGAAGAAGGAGCATTGGAAAATTGGAAGAATGGGTTTTAGAAAACATTATTCTATAGGATAAATACAATGTCCAAGCTGTGTGCATTAGTTGCCATGGAAAGGTTGGGAAACCACTGATGAAATATTCATATGATCTTCGAAATATGTTGGGGGTAACCTTTAGTCCCAATCCCTCCAGAGACCATTAACAAATCAATGTTCTGAATTAGTATTAACAAACATCAGCAGGCCAAAACTATTTATTATATGAGAATGTCATAGTAAAACCAGAGTGCCTGCTTCTTACAGGAAGGAAGCTTTTCAGCAGGTGTTTAACCCATTTGTTCCAAAGAATGGGCATGCATGTCTATCCTTGGGTTACACTCGGGGGCAAAAACAAGCACTCCTCACTCCTCAGCCCTTGCAAGAACTGGCAGCTGGCTGGCAGGCAGTTGTTTCATTTATTATTACATTTATTATATTCATTTATATTTTATGCTTTCATCCTTGGAATGAAAGGTCATCTGTGATGGAAACAGTCATGAAATGATGGCACTCCTTGAACTGAAGAAGCAACAAAATGAAGGGAAAATGAGACAAGAAGAAAGACTTCCTAAACATAATTCAAATGTTAATTTTAATATATGCTGGCTACCTCAGTTTTATTTTAACTTCCTTATTTATTGATGGATTTCTGCTAAACTTGTGCAGCTGAGTGGGACTAACGAAAGAGAACATTTGATGGATAAGCAACTTAACATTTCTAACATCTGCAACACTATAGCTAAGCCACAATAATGGGAGAGAATGGTAAATGGAAAGATGGTAGAGGAAAGAACCAAGAAGCATCTTTACAGCAGGTGTTTAACCCATTCTATTTTGAGCTGCAGAACATTTAAAGGGATAGACAGCAGCTATAAACTGTATTATTAAGTGATTAAAGATGGATACTTTAATGGATCCCCCAACCCCCCCCCCAACCTGGCAAACCTTGAAATCAACAGATTTATTCCATTTAAAAATTTTTCTTTTGATATGAATGTCATTAATTGCATGGAAAGCTACTGCATGCTAGCTATTTGGTCCATTTCAATTACTGCAAGGCTTATAACAAAGATGCTAGCAGTCATTTACCTCTGGAAAGAAGGTTCTAAGAACAAAGTGTTTGTAGTCAAGGAAGGGAATTGTTCCAAAACTATCAACCACATCTGATTTTTCCACCTGTAGTTCAACAAATCCTGCAACAAAGAAAGATCTCCTGGAGTGCTATTTTTTATAATATAGCATTATCTTAATTGCAGCTTTCAATATGATTCTGGAAAGTAGCTATCAAAGACAGTTCTCTCTGTATACATTATCTCTGTGGCCAAGCTGTGTGGTTGAGGGATTTTTTTTTTTTTTTTGGTTTCTTTTTCACTTTTTTGGTGGGATGTGCAACAGTGATTGTGCATACTTTTCAATGTTTTTCTTGCATCGAACTGTTGCACGGGATGACACGAGCAAAGAGCAGCTGCCTCAGGCTGGTATTGTAATGGGGTGGAACTCCGTACTCTTGCCGCTTGTGCCTGTGGGGGAGGGGGCGACTCAGGCAGCGCCGTGTCAGCATGTGGTTGCTAAAAGGCCAGTAATCCCAGCACGGGCAAATGGAGTGAGCAGCCAGCAGTCACACTGGGCACTGTGTGCTAGTCCATTGCCGCACGCCGGCACAGGGCCGACTCAGCTACTCCCTGCCTCCAAAACCCCTGCAGTACTCCAAGAGTGAAACCACAACGGATTCTGTACTTTAGAAACAACACAGAGATGGCACCTTAGGGGTGAATACTTTTATTCCGGCACAAGCTTTTGAGGCCTGCAGCTCAGTTCATCATATGCATGGAGTGTGATTAAGAGCTTCAAGTATATCTGCAGCGTGTCCTGTGGGAAGCAAGCACTTCATGCAACTGGTGAAGTCCATGAAAGCTTACGCTGGGATCAATTTGTTTATCTTTAAGGTGTCACAAGACTCCTTATTGTTTCAGCTGCAATAGACTAACCCAGCAACTCCTCTGAAAATCTAAGGGAAAGGACTGCATGGAAAGCACAACACAGAAATGCAGACTGCACAAACTCTCAGGTGCTAATCCTTCCCCCGAAAGCAAATCTAAAGAAACCTACCATAACGTATTTCTTTACGAAGTTCACATTCCAATAGTTCCAGGTGTTCACTCAGTTTTCGATGTAACTGTTTTGATTTTCTTTGGGTCACAAAAATGGCAACTGAGAGAAAGTCAATACTGAATGAATACAGAAATATGAACAAGCTATACACATTTATTCACTCTATTTAGCAAAAAAGAGTGAGCAAGAGATAATATGATTCTACAATACTTTGAAAACAGCCATGTCCCAAACAAACCAAGCTTCCTTCTGACATAAAATATATTTGCAATCTCCATGTTAAAAAAAATCTTTTAACTGAAGATGTTTAAGAAGACTGAAAAAGTTGAGAAACAGGAAAGGGCTTATAGTTCAGCAGAAGCCACCACCAACACCCACTGTTGGGCAAGCTGAATATGAAGTTTCACTCCTTCCTGGAACTTCCCCTTCTCAGCACTGCCACCTTGAAATCTGCTCCAGAAGTTTCCCCCACTCAAGAGCAGATGTGTGCAGGCGACTGCAGAAGAAGCAGAAGATTCACTCCATTGGCAGACAGACAATTGGGGATTATTCCCTAAATTCTGAATGCAGAAAATGCCAGCTTCAATCTCTGCCAGTTTCAGTTAAAAAGAATCACAGACAGCAGGGCCAAGAAACAGCTTAGCCTTGAAGAGGTTTTTTCCATTAGAGCAGACCTGGGTGGCCAACAAGAAGTGTACTGCCGCTGGCCACTTTCATAATTAGGGAGCTGTTCTCCCACAGCACAGCCACCAAATTGCAGCTGCAGAATTGTAAGCAAGAATCACAGCAGTTTTACAAAGAAAAATAATGTGTGAGGACCGTGTGCCTTTTTTGCAAGGAGGATTATGCTTGCAGAAACATGATTCTGTTTGAACCAAGGGTGCACGCTCCTGCTGCAGACCTTGATTCCCTGCAAAATTGCTGTGACCTTTGCTGCTGCAGCAAAAGGAAAAAAGGCACAAAATGCAGTAGCAAATTTGGCAACTGCAGGTGTTGGGTGGGCCTCTCTTGTGAGTTTTGAGGGGCAATGCCTTGCCTAGCCTAGAGGAGACAGTACAAAGGCAGGTGGACCAAGAGTCTGATCCAGCATTCTATTCTTCAGTTATGAAAAGGCCCAGGGGAAGTTTCCTGAACTAGAAACCCCACACAGTTGGATGAAAGGGAGCTTATTTGATGGTGGTGGTGGACAGCCATTGTCCAGGCAGCACTGAGTGACTAGTCCTGCCGCACTGACCACGATCACAGATGCATGTGCTATTTTAACAAATGACAAGCTACAGACAAGGACATTCTTACTTACTTGCAATTACTACAGGGATTAACAAAAGAACATACAGAAATGTATAGTTGAGTGTTTCAGTTGGAACCTCATGCAGAAATTTTCCCACGTTGACCTGGAGAATTAAAAAAAAATAGCAAGAAAAATGTTAGATTACCTCGACAAAGATGGCAAATTATGAGCAATCCATAAACAAACCTGTTTGTGAAAATAAAAGGAAATGGCACAAAGTTGCATCACTATGCTGTTTATTTTATTTGGTTTATATTTTAACGGTTGCATCGTCATAAACCACCCCAGAATCTATTCCAATGAGGAGCCACGTAAAAACATTTAGGGTGAGCAAGAGATGGAAAGCACTCCAGGGTGCTGTGCCCAGCAGGCTTTGTTGCCTCTGCAGGAAGTCTTAATTCACTAGTCAGCCTCACATTAATAGATAGAACAGAGACAAGATCCTTTTCAACATACTCGTACACTGGATTAAATCCAGACAAACAGTAAGTCTGACTAATTAGTCTCACATCTACAATTGCAGATTTAGGTTTAGAGTATTGATATTGCCCATACAATCCCACATATCCTTCTTATTTTATTATACATTTAATAGAAATTCACATGAACTTAATATTTATTTATTTGTTCCTAACCCACATTTTTTCTGAAAAGGACCCATACTCTCAATCTGAACCTGTGAGGAAACTAAGTCTGTGAGTCACTTACTGGCTCAAATACAGCCAGTGAGCTTCATAGTCAACTGAGGGCTACAAACTCTTGCATGCCAGTCCAACATCCTAATCACCGGTGCTGCAAATTATATTGTCAAGTTGTTAAGCTTGTATTTCTGTTAGCATTGTCTTACCTTTGATTTAATTTCAGATTTTACGTCCTGAAACTTCGATCAAGTTGTTAGCGGCCTGCTGATCTGATTTGTGATTAAAAGTATGTTGCAAGAACTAAGAAGTGGGCACAGACTTAAAACCTATAGTGCTACAAAGAGCAATCTATCATGCCCACAGAACTTCCTTGGCAAACCAAAGTCTGCTATCACAAAGCAATTACATTCTGAGAGCCAGCGTGGTGTAGTGGTTAAGAGCATGGGACTGGGACTCAGAGGATCTGGGTTCTAGTCCCCGCTCAGCCATGGAGCCAAATGGGTGTCTTTGGGCCAGTCACAGACTCTCAGCCCAGCCTACCTCACAGGATTGTTGTTGTGGGGATAAGATGGAGGAGGAGAATGATGTAAGCCTTGAGCCCTTTGTAGGAAAAAAGCAGGATACAAATCAAGAAATAAATAAATAAATATGAAAATAAACTTGGCCCATCATTACAGAATGAGCTCAAGCTCACAGTCTTCCCCTCCATGCTTCTGGAAGACCACATAGCACAGCTCTTACACTATTGTTTGTGTGTATGTTTTGTTTTTAACTAAGCACTGTTTGGTGTTGTGTCCAAATCTGGGCAAACTACAGTTAGGTATAACAATGATTTTTTTGAAACAAGCCAACAAGCAAACAAAGATTTGGCTTACTGACTTGTTTCAGTAAGCCATGGGTAGGGCAAACTGCAGTTTGACTAGTTTGGACATAATGCTACACAGCACTTTTTCAAAAATGGAAGCAATAGCTTCTGATCTCCTTCTTGTGACCACACCACAGGAAACAGGGAGCATGCAAGCCTGAGGCTCAGCAAAGCGTGATTATGAAATCATGGTTTACAGTCACATCTCTGAAGCAACCATAATCTCAGAGACTATTTCCTTGGTCCAAGAAGTGGCTGTCTACACATTATACAGGGGAAGTAGAGGGTGGTCTATGATTTCTTCATGTGATCCCAGAGTAGCCCACAGAACTGGGGACAGACTTTTTATCTACCTGAATATAATGCTATAGACTTCCAGCAATACTATCTAATACCTGTCACATGCAGAATTTGGAAAAATCACAACTATGAACAATGTTTAAAATATGCAACTTCAAAGCCATGTTCATGATCAATTAATATAAAAACTCTTGCATACATTATCCATAAAAAATTTACTCACATAAACTTTCACACTGGATGTATCTATCTTAGAGGTCTTTTTTCGTTTGGTTCTGCAGTGTATAATGCTATGATCTTTAGTGTTTAAAATATCTTGGACAGTGAATGTTAGATTTTCCCGTTCCTTGCTATCCATGTAAGACAGGAAAACTTCAATCTCACTTCTTGTAATATTTAAGTTGTCATTTTGTTTCTGGAAAAAAACAACAACTTAGAATAATGCAAGAAACATGCAAAAATGCAAACAATCTGAATATTTAAGACAATGTAGGTATGTTTTTAAATTAAAAAAAAAAATACTCACATGTATTTTTAACTCCAGCTCTGGGTCTAAATCAAGTGTCAGTTCATAATGAATAAACTGAGGATCAGGATCATATTGAAGTGTAATGCAAGGAAAATGTTTCCCTTCAACATTTAGGACAATGTTAGCCATTTTAGTTCCTTTCTCAGACGTCAAAGCTGGTGTAGTAAATTTACATTCATCACCAGATCTGTGGCATGTAAATTGCTAAGAAGTAAAAGGCAAGTACTGAAACAATTACAAAGCATGACAAGGTTTAGACAACAGGTGTTACTAAAATATAGACAATAGAACTTCGGCTTTGAATCAGTACACACTGAGGCAGTTTAAATTTCACAAACATCAGAAGTATTTAACTTGCTTATTTTAGACAACAGCACTTCAAAAACATGCATGCTGGACTATGTAAAATACTTGCAAATGTAAAATACTTACTCCTGCAAGTAAGTGCTTCAGACATTTCAACAGTTCTGAGACCTGGTACCTCTCTTGAGGTGCAAGAAAATTCTCCCTAGCCAAAGTAGCTCTCAACAACTTTTTCCTCAGACTGGATATTCCTAGGACATCCACAGAGCATCCAAGAGAGGACTTGAAGGTTCCTGCCTGCTTCGTATGGTAGAAACAGGGTTTCTATGGCAGGAAATGTAAAAGCTCTTACTTAGAACACTTTCTTTGTTTCCTAGTTAATGTTTTCCTGAAATAGTTCTAGGGTAGAGCATGGGATGGCAGGGATGCAGCCACATGTCAAGCCAAATCATCCTACTAATGAGCTATGGTGCATTACTCTATGGACAACCCTTGGCGTGCCCAACAGACAATGGGCCTCACCATGGGTTGTTGCCCCCTACCTCCTCTTGGATCATCCTGTGGGTTTTCCAGGAGACACAACAGCAGGAACAACTTGTCTGGCTGTGATTGCAAGCTGCTTTTGGTTCACTGTATCCTCCCCCCCCCCCCGCCCTTACCTTGTTTTTCTCACGAGATTCCAAACTGTGGTTTGACAGTTGACTTTTGTGGTGTGTGTTTTGACAGCCAGTGACAGCCCTTTCAAAATGCCCAGGCTGTACCTTGCAAACCTATTATCTTTTAAGACCACCCCCATGGCAGTATATGCACACATTAATTTTTATATTTGTTTTTCATTCCCTTACACACTCCAAAATCAGTAGACTTGCCTGGTTGATGTCCAGGAAGGTATGTAATGGCAAAAGACAACCGATCCCAGTCCTGGATATTAAACTAGAATGACTCAAAATAGTCATCCCCCCACCCCCTGGTTTGCTTTGACAGCTGTCAAAAGATAAAATGACAAGCAAAACCAGAAGCACTGCAAAGAGGAAGTTGTGGTATTTCCACCCACTGTGTTACGTTTTTCAACCCTACCCCCACCCCCCACTTTAAAAGGAACTATCAAAACTATAAAAACCCTGTTCCTTTTTAAAAGTTAAAAAAGGGTTCCTCTCCCCCCGCCCCCTGCCCATAGGGACCAACGGATTCATGCCAGCATGCGTCCCCATTAAAAAAAATCTTTAAAAGAAAATGGAGTTTCATTCACTAGCTGTCAAAATTCTGATTCCTTTAAATGGGGTAGCTCACACTTCTGCCATGTTCCTAAGTACCAAGAGCCTCAAAAACAAATGGAAAGGGGAAAGCACCCTTATTGATACACATTTGAAAATATTTGCACTTTGAAGCGACTGTCAAAATGAGGCTTTCAAAAGCTAGCTGTTAGCCAGAGATCACAGTCTCTGGGAAAAAGAAAGGGCAAAGGGAAAAATGCCCCATCAATGTAGGGAAGACATAAAACATTAACTTCCTTTTCAGACAATTCCACTATTGATTGGGTATTTCTGGGACATCTTTCACTGGCAAGATTTTTTGCCCCTTTTCCCAAGCAACTTGTTCACTCCTTGGCCAATGACAGGAAGGGCTGCCTGGGTTCAGACAAGATGACAACCCACTGCTTCTGACTTAACCCCTAAACAAACAACAGGCCATCAACATGGCTTATAACCTAAAAATAAGCCATTCTGGGGAAAATGGTCAGCATTCTCACTACGCATGCACTGACCATGGCTTACAAGCCCTAGTGCATTGTCATGTCAGGCAAACCCAGTCAGTGAATAGTATGTTTAAGAGGCAGTTCTGTGTGTGTGTTTCCACCCCATCAGATACCCAATACAGCCTTTGTGCACCCTTGCCCTAGTGGTAGAAGTACCAAAGGTAACATTTACTAGTGGTTGCACAAGCACTAGCAGAAAACCTAGCATAAGTAATGCAAGCAACACCTCCTACAATGAATGAGTTGTCACACTGCTTGTATAGGTGGACTTGATTTTGGATACTGGATCTGATAAAGATAAAATAGGGTTTCTGGAACTGGGCTAAACTTTGCACTAGCCCAATTATATCACTGGACCATTGATATTACAGAGCATAACAATTAGGAAAATTCACAAAAATGAAAGTTATCTGTTTGCTTTCTATGGTATTTTGCAGAACTACTTAATTATGAATGGTTTGCACTATAAGAGTTGTAAAAACCTTGCCTGTCTGCTAATTAAGATGAAAAGAATCCCTTACCTTTGGTTTGTCTTACAATTTTGTGCTGCTTAATGGGAGATTTGTGCAAAAATGATTATAATATTATAACCACAGAGGTTATAATACTTACTGTCAAGATTTGGCCAGATTCATCCAAAATAATCACTGTATCTGTGATATTCAGATATTTCCCACGTATGGTGATGTTGCGACCTCCACTGAAAAATTGAAAAAGGATGGAAAGGAATTACCATATTTGACTTATTTTTCTATTTATTTGTATTTAAAACATGTCTAGACTGCCTCTGGACAGAACCCTTCCCAAGATGGCTTGCAACATTAAACTTATGTAGTTAAATTTAATATATTAAGTTGGAAAACATTCATAAAATAGACACCAGCAATAAAAGCTTAAATTTGGAATTTATCTTCCAATAAAAATACATGCTACTTCTAAAGGCATTTGCAGCACCATAAATCTAATATTCCTAGTTTTCTCAAGGTATAAATGCAAAACAAGTTTATTCATAAGTTGCTGAAATATTTCAGATTAGAGGAACTGGCTTGTGAAATGACTATGTGGTTTGTAGTATGCGTTTGTAGTCAGACAGAGACAATCAGGGAAGCAGCTAACATACTACTTTTTTGATGTGGAATATACTCATAGTTATTATGCTGGTGTTTTTTTACGAGTTGACACACAGAGCGCCACACACTCAAATAGGACGCAGTGCACCTTTTACAGTCAACAGATGCACAGCATTTGCCCCACTCAACTGTTCGATGCAATCGCAACTGACACAGCAGGGGAGGCCAAGTTAGTGAAGCTCACATGAGGGCCTCTTTCTAGAAACAAGGGTTTCTACTCATTTGGGGCTTCCCCGAGAAAGCATTAAATCTCCCAGTGCAACCTCTGCAACTGAACTGGTGAAATCCATCAGTTGCAGAAGGTAATCAGTGAAGCAGAAACCAATCAGTTGGAGTGTAAGCTCTGTACTGGACCCTGCCCTGATCACCCTCCCCTCCCCTCCCCTCCCTCTCGCTTAGCTTGAATCCTGGGAGCTGGCTCCTGCTACTCCTATGAACTGCTCTGGGAAACAATTAACTGTCTGAAAATGGCATAAAGCAGTTTATTCATATACATTATATTCGTTTGCACGTTTATTCAGAAGCTCCTCTGATTTCAGTGGGATTTACCCACAAGTGAGTGTGCCTTTGATTGGACCCTTATCCCACACTATGAAGAGTAACAGAATCGCTAAGAGTTTTGCATCCAGAAATAAAGTGTTGGGAAGGTTCTCAGCATTCTCACAGATGACTATTTTCATATTTTGGCAAGCATACAAGGGATTATTTATCTGTGATCTCAAAAGTACTAATGACTTGCTAATAATGAGCTAAAATGTTATATTTTACATATATTTATGATTCCTTTCTACACTTAGTGCTGATATTTACATAGTGTCATTTTTAGTCACTAGCTGTGAACTTGTCTTCCTTATACAGTGGAGTCAACCTTCATGCTTACAGATGCATGAAACTACTTTAGTATAAGTGTTTAGTTCCAGTAATGAAAGTCCTGATACAAGGTTACTGAAAAGCAACAAGGTTACCCAAAAGCAACATGTTACAAATTAACTAAAAGGAACTAATTGCTACCACAAACCACACATTTATTGTTGTATCTGCTCCAGTTTGGCAGCTTGTTTGCTTGGAAAGGATGGCTGCCAATTTAGTCTCCTATTTAGTTGCAAGTTAAATAACAACACTGCTGATTTCTTTTCATCATATGCTTCATCATGGGAACCAACAAGAAAGATTAGAAGCAATAACAAAACACAACAATACCAAATAATTAACAATGCAAAACAAAGTAATATGCATAACTTATTGCTATAGTAAATACATTTTAAAATCACAGCTAAAACCAAGGAACTGTGGAATATAACACCGAATAAAAGATATGCCACAAAGAAGACTCAGAGAGAGGGGGCTGACTAAGTGGGGGAGTATTCCGAAACTATGTCACTGGCACAGAACATTTCTCTTTCACACTCAACCAGGGCTCTCTTGGAACAGTACCAAGAGCAAAGACAGATCAGATCAGCTCTTGAAGCCTGAAATGATCTGGCCTATAATGGTAAAGGATGTAAGGATGCCAATAAAATTGCTTGATTTTGCTGAACTAAGCTGATCTTTAACATATTCCTTGAAGGACAGCCTCCTTCCACATGCCTTGTCCGTCCTTTAAGGAGAGTACCTTCATTTGCTGTTGCCGTCAGAAGCACAACTGGCACCAACATGTGACAAGACTTTCTCGGCTGTAGCCCCACGTGAACCTCCCTCCATGATCTCATCTCCCAGGAGGTAAAAATTATCTTCCTCTTTAGCTGGGTTTCACAAGCAAGATAAGACATTCCTTTTTATACAAGCATGTGACCTTACAGCTTTTGGTTTGCTAATGTGCTTTAATTATTGTTGTTTCCACAGTTTTTATTTTATTTTATAAGCTGATTTGACTGACACTGCTTCGGGAGGAGAAAAAAGAGTAAAAATGGCTTCAATAAAAATATTAATAAAACATTTATAGACAAAATGCCACTGTTTGATAAAATTCAAAATACTGAAACAATTAAAGTTGCTATTGTTGTTATTCAGAGATTACCTTTTCCAGGAGATATTTGGAAGGATCTCAAAACATTCTGGGAAAGAGACGTAATGTACTGTCTTAGAGGATGAACACTGAAACCCTTCTTCTTTTATGCATACGCTCTTGACTTCTTTGTGACTCGGTGGTAAACAAAATTTCATGTGCGTGTGATTTAGAATCTCAGTGACAGATATCCTAAAGGAAGAATAATACCTCTTAAATCAAAATGTAGAATTTTGTCTCAAGAGCTTCACTGCTATTTTTTATTTAAAAGCAATTTGTGAATCAGAAGAAGAGCTTCACAGTAGAAGAGCTTCACAGTAGACGAGACAAGCAGAAATGGCATAAGAGCTTAGCCCAACGCTAGTTTATAGATTCAAAAACCATGATTCACGAAGGCTAGAATGTTCTAAACTGGGTCTATTAAACCCAAAATTAACACGACTTGGGCTTAAGAGAACCTCACTCAGACCTCAGGTTGTTAAAATTTGCTGGTTGAGAAAGCAAATGAAAGCATTTCAAAAACTGAATGTGCATTCCATTCTGCTTTGCTTTTAAACTTAATTTACAATATGAGTAATTCAAGAATTGGCTTAAGAGGCACCTCAGTACTGCCAGTGAAGACACAAAATTAGCAAGTCTCCCTTCCACTGAAGAACAGAACAATGTGACATAGTTCCTTTTTCAGTATAAAAGGCAGGAGCTCTCATTATGCCTCTGGAACTTTTCAAGGATCACTAACATTTTATCTCAGGTAAATAACCATGAGACAGTAACATCAGCACTGTGCAATCTTGGAAGCATTCAAGAAAATCATCTAAAATCTGGCTTGATCCAACAAATCTCTTTTGAAAGAAAACTGCAGCTCTTGAAGCAAAGGTAAAGTGTCAGATCTAACAGCAATTCACATTTTGCTAATATCTGTTAGGTCTAATATCTGAACTACACTCTTCCAAAGACATTACATTCAAGTGAAGAGCAGGAATACATTGTGATTAATCCTATTCCCAATTATTTTTGAAGTTAGACTTTGAAACTAGTATAACAGGCAACTGTAGCAGAACCAGATACTAGCAACAGGACAGTATGAATAAACAAGGTTCAATCAAACAGTTGGAAGATGCTAACTTGTCTGGTCACTTCCCTAAATATGCTTCTAATTTAGTAACTGTGTAATACAGGTATAAATAATAGTTTATACCATAACAATAATAGTTTTATTTGGACTCACACATCAGGTTTGCAGCTACTGGTTCCAGTTATCTCCATCAAAATGTTTGATCCTGTAAAGTTTTCTCCTATGACTAGCACTCCACTTTTGCCTAATGGTGATATCCATGCTGGTTCAATGGAAGTAATGCTCATGGGCTATTGGAAACAAAATAAAACCAGATTAAAATATTTAGGCAATAGAATTATGTAAAGTAGAATTTAGCATTTCTGAACACTAACCTCTTTAAAGTCATCTGCACTACAGGTTACAGAAGCACAGTAAGCCTGTACTCTATGATTGCCTTTGTTTTCCAGTTGCTTCAAGATTGAAATAGAAAAATTGAAGACAATGAAAAGCCCAAATCTATACAGTCCGTGACCTGCAAATCATGGTTTGAAAGTCAGCCTTGGAAACCTTGAATTCCTCTATGCTGTCCCCACTTCTTTGAATCATGATTTAGCATTACACATATTCCATCATTAATCATGGAGAATGCTAATTATGGTTCCTGTCTCATTCAAGATCTGACACATATTTAAGTTAAGGGAACATATATAATGAAAAACCTGTAACAGAGGCAGACAAAAGTCTGACTAGATGGAATCCTAGTCAGACACAGGACATAGGTGCATACTCGTGAGGTTAACTCCTGATAGAGAAACTATAGTTTGGAGGAAACAAACATTAACCCTGCACTGGTGCTGTTTATCTAAAGCACAATAATGATTTGGGATCTAAAATGCATTAAGATAAACACACTATTTTATGTATCTTGTGTTTCAATGCAGTGCAATCATTAGTAGTATTTTTCTTGCCCTAAGTAAATTTGTAGGGCGGTCCTGACACAACCAATAATGCTACCCAAATTATTTCAGAGTTGAGTTCTTTTTCTTTGCTAACTGTATCCACACAATGCTTTTATTGCTCTGCATTGCTTTTCTCTCAGTGGACCTTTGGTGGCAGAAGTCCACCACCAAAGGTCTCCAACAGGGTACTCACAGGGAGATGGACCACCACTACTCTGCCAACCCAGCTCCCACCCTGGACCTGGGTCAGCTGTTTCCCTACCATTAACCACAATGGGAAGGAGAGAAGTAAAAAGAGTGTGTGTGTGTTGTTGACATACTTAAGTTTGGTTTCAGTGGATTGAGCCTAAGTATGACTAAGTCTGGATCCAACCCAATGCTTTCCATGGATGCAAACTCATGCCCACCATCACTCACTGGAATGAAACAACATCCCCCCCCCCCAAAAAAAAAAATTCCACAAGATAACATGTGACTATTTTCCATATAAATGATAGTTCCAGTTAATGTTAATAAACTGCTTGAGCTTTCTTTTTAATTATGCAGTAAATTTACAAATAATGAGTTTGGTTCTTCACTTCATACATTTTTAAAACCAGTTAGCTTTATTATGTGTTCCAAAAGTGCTAAGCTACAACAGCTGATGCCTGTTATATTTTATTTCAGGAGTTGTTGCTGAAGAGGAAGCTAGAATTATCAGTAGCAAACATATCTGACAAGTGTCTACTGACACACACCACACAAACATCACACTTAAGTAAAACCTAGTTTTAACAAGTGTTTACAAAACAGGAAATTGGGACAGGTCATCGCAATTTGATGCCCTGAAAACTACATTACTCGTTAAACTCTGAACATAAGGGAAAACAATTCAGTTGAAGGTATCTGAAGGGTGTTCAAGTGTTTGATCTAAGCTTAAGGTTTTCTATTTCTTTATACTCTTTGCACATTTGTTTTATATAACACTAGGATTTTTACACTTTTTCACATATATTCATAAGATTTAAATTCCATCTGACATTGTGCAACTCTTTCATCTACAGTCTTAAGAGTTCTTGTATTTTAAATCCCCCCTCCCCCACTTTTTGAGTACTTTGACTGTCACTAGAATCTCTAAGGAAGTTAACCATGATAGGATACTATCAAACTGCTATATCTTTAATAGCATTCAAGGCTCTTGCTGTTTACACTGTTAATGAAACCGGTTCAAGTTAGAACAAAAATCGAGGCTTACAGGATATTACCACTTCTTGGTATTTTAATTCATACTGCAGTTTTAATAGACTTTGCAACTATAGGATAGCTAAGTATTAGCTATGAACTGCTGAAATCTAAAATTAAATCCAATGTCCAAAGAACCATATGACTGCAACCAGGGAATGCACAAATTTCCCTTGGTCTGTCCCCTTGAAACTTGACATTTCCCCTGCTGCCATTGACTTAGGTAAGAAAAACAGTGCAGAGAAGACAATTTAAGTCAGGGGACAAGGGCACTTTCATGCCTCAGATTGTCTTGGAATAAACTGAATCCTTTCCATTTTCAGAAAATTTGCTTAGATTTGGCAAGTTTGCTTAGATATAGCTTAGAGTACTTGCTCACCTTGGGCATTCGCAAAGTATCAATCCTATTTGAAGCACTGATAATCTTACTACAATCCACCTGAAAAAAATGGATATATTTCTTTACAACAAGATCAGTTAAAATGATCAAATCAATTCAAATTATCATCAAATTTAAAAAATCACATTGAAATAATTTAAGAATACTGTTACAGTCAGCAATTCTTACCTTTCTTTTGCAAGTCCCAGAAGAAGACACTACACATTTATTTTCTCTGTCATTCCAGGTGCAGCCAGCACGGTCACATTCTGAGCATCTAGCAATACAATTAAAAAAAAGTTGGCAATATTTGCAGAGAATGGCAAAGCTCAGACAAGGTCTGCCAGAAAGATAAGAACCTGAAGACTGTGGGTGGAGTATTGTATAACCATTCTAAGTTTTACCCACTTGCAGATCACGAATATTATCATCAACTGGGAAATTAAATTTCTAAACACCCACAGTAAGAATTTGATAAGCAGGAGAACCTCAAAGACACTTCTCTGTCATGGGAAGGCACAATACTTCATAACATATCTGCAGGATCAAGCCAGAGATTCCTGGAATCCAGCATCTGCCTCTCCCAGCTGCCAACCAGATGCCACAAATAAAGGATGAAGGCAAGAGCCCTCCTTTGCCATTGCTCTTGAGCCCCAAGATTCAGTGGCACTGCCTCTAAACATGGACGAACTACTCTCTCCAAGCAATTTCTTTATGCAGTTGTTGCATCAGTTACTGGCAGAAGCAGATGGCTCAATCTCTGATGTAAAAGTCTTATGTTACTCTAGAAAGGTGTGGCAGAATCATGTCACTCTGACCTCTTTGTCATTTAAACTCTTGCCCTCCTGTGATGTCTCATGACACAAAAACATGCGGGCACAGTTCTGTCCTGGAAGTAAGAGATCTGAAGCTCTTCAGATAATGGAAGAAGACTCGCCAGTGACCAACCATCTACTGACTTACTAGTACTTCTATTCTGAAAATACAGCTGTAATGCACAGCATTCTCAACAGAGGTTCCATTCCTCCATTACCAGTGGAAGTGGTTCCGATGCTGCTGCAGAGAGGCAGGCTGCCCTCTTGTGCAGGTTCTGGAAAGGAGCATGAGGCGCTACCTGACACTGGTCCAGCTAAGCCAGTATCTTCAACACTGACTGGCCTCGGCAATCCAAGGCTTTGGGGAGCAGCTTTCCTTGCCCAACCTAGGGATAGTAGGGATCTTACCCAAGCAAGGCATGTGCTCTACCACTATGCTACAGCAAAAAAATAGTGTAAATCCATGTTCCAGAATAATTTTCACAGGCCTAGTGCGGTCATCGATCTGTCTGTCTGTCTGTCTGTCTGTATGCCAAACAGCAACACTACCCATGCATGTATTGCATTTAAGTGTTCATTTCACTGAAGAGTGTGTCCAGCCATGCTGCTTCTAAACAGTATGCAGTCATTGCTTTTATACCACATGCAGAAGTGCACGTGATTTTCCACACTTCAGGAGGCCTCACACTCATCCTATGTAGCATCCGCATTTCTGGGTGTGTATAGTTCCATAGGCAAGCAAATGACAATGTACCGAAGCATTAATTTTTACAAGCATGGGATTCCCCCCACCCCCACATCACTGCTTACATTTTCCCTAAATGTGCTTTTTAAAGTTAATGTTAATACAGATTTTTAAAAATAGGTAAAGACTATTGTAGTGCTATTTTTAAAAAAAATAATTTTAAAAACATGGTCTTAAAATCAGAAATGTACTAGGGTTTTATTTTTTACTTCTACTTTTTACCACGTTTAAATTTGCAGTACAGTGTGCTTTTTCCCATAAGTGCAGTTATGCAAACACTTCTCTTTTTTAACATAGGAGGAAAAATTAATCAGAAATTAAAAGACTTTTTAAAGAAAATGACATATCATGTACCAGCAAGTTTACTGCATGCCTGAATTCACTGCACATATCAAAAGCAAGCCTCAAGAAACACAGGAAGCTGCGCTGCACTGTATCAGATTGTGACCTAGCTGGCTACTGACGGGCTGTTGCTCTTCAGAGTTGCACCCAGGGCTGCTCATGCCCTATATGGAAATGCTAGAGACTGAGTTTAGCACTTTCGGTATGCAAAGCATGTGTTCTGCCATGAAGATACTGCCTGCCCCAATTCAAAAAGACACTAAATAGCACTCGGCACCTGTGGGGATCGACTACTTCTTCTGAAAGAGGTCAAAACGGAGGGAAAAACTAGTAGAACAATTATTTTATTACAATGTCATGTAGATGCCCTGTAAAAAATGAAAACACTAACAATAAAATGCTTTGATAAAAGGCAACTTGCAGAAGTTTTACTAATCTTCACACCCAAAACCCACACCAAAGGCATTGGTAAACATATCTTACATTTTCTGTGATGAGCACGCATTAAATTCAAGTATTTCTGATAAATGCCAAGAATCGGAGCGGAGTAATACTTGAACTGAAAAGAATCAGAAAATATTATTTTAAAAGATTAAGCAAAACATATGTAATTTAGAAACAATTGATTTTAACCTAGAAACAAGATAAAATTAAAAAAAATCTAATAGTAACATCTCTATTTATAACACACAATCTTGCATGCCCAAGACAAGAAAGTCACAAGACAAAACAGGTCCACAGTTTTCTCTTGCTGTAACCACAAAGAGAGGCCAATCTCTTTTTTTCCTCTCTCCACTCACAACCACCCACCAAACTGCAGCACTCCCTAACACACAGCTTCAAAGCTATCTTTATCAAGGTCAATGAGGCATTCTTTGCGGCCAGCATGGTCACTGAGGCTCAAGCCACAGTGTTTCACGGTATATGTTTCTCTGCCATCAGGTTCTGGGAGGAAAACACCCCCCCTTTCCCTCCACATCCTTATCACTCCCTACTCTGTCCATACCCTGTGGAAACTAAAGGCTGCTTTCCTCTAGCATGGGTATAAACAATTTCTGGGAGTGAGGAAGCACACTGTCCCCCACAATCTTTAGCAACAACTGACCCCCACGGAAATTGCTGTTGCTGCTGAAATGGCTGCCACACCTTGTTTGCAAGAAGAATTGTGCTTCTGAATTGCACAAATCTCCTTGCAAAACCACAGTAACTTTTGTGCCATAGAAAATTCAGAAGCTGGAGCGCAGGGCTCACCAAAAGAGCCCCAGAGGGATGCATGTTGCTGTCTGTTCTACTAACTGCACAGCCAGGCAGACATAGCCAGCAAGCAACACAGTAGGGAGATGGACAGTTCAATTATAGCTAAATCCAAGGCGCTCAACAACTGACTGAAAAGTTACTCACAAATGCATCTATGCAAGACAGCCAGAGGACTTGAAAGCAAACCCAGAAATCAAATTAAAGGTGGATCTCACTATTAATGTTCCTTGAGAGACAAAGTCTCTTCGTTCATGACACATGCCAAACAGTGCCATAGATTTACTCATAGAATTTTCCATTTATTCATATGGAGAAGAACGTGATACATGCGCACACTGCATAAAATGAGGATGTGACACGCGCAATGCATTTTGGTCTTGCACTAACTTTCTTGTGTTCATCTATCTAAGCTTTCCCACGAATTCACTTTCCTGCTCGTACTGAGACACTGAAAGATGGTTCGTTGTTGTGATGATCAAACCAACTCCATCCAACAAACCATGATTTGCAATAATCTTTCAAACCAGGATAAGACCACAGCCTGAATCTGGTTCATGGATACAGTTTAGATAAACTGTGATTTGGTGTTACATCTGAGCCAAGAAAACAACAAATGAAGAACCCACACAAACCACAGTTATTCTGTATGTCTGGTGACCAAATAATGATTTCATGCTGGTTTGGACATAAAGCTTAAATATGATTGCGTGTGATATGAGGGCCAGTGTGGTGGTTAGAGTGTTGAACAGGGGACCTGGAGTTCCATGTTCTAGTCTCCACTTGGCCAAAGAGCTCACTGGTGACTTAAGCCGGTCACAAACTCTCAGCACAACCTACCTCATGAAGTAGTGAGAATGAAATAAAGCTATAAAAGGTGGAATATAAATGCACTGAGATACTACTGCTAGTAGTAATATTGCATGTACAAGGATAAATTCTCCCCAATCTCTCCTCCTTCAATGCAAATGTGAAGAGATTAGAAGCTCTGTTTTCAGCTACCCACGATGCATTGTTATGTTCAAACCCAAAAAAGAGCTTAATCCTAACTAGTTAAGGAAACAAACCTTTGTAAACAATATTTTGAATTTTGTTTCTCCTGTTTCCCACCCAGACATCCTTTTTGGCTGAAGGGGTAGGATAGAAATCAAACAGATAAATTAAACAAAAATAAACAAACAACTAGGTATGGGGAACTCCCGGCCCATGGGTCAAATAGGGCCCTCAAGGACTTTCTTGTTCAACACATCAAGGTCCTTCCTCAACCTCTCCCGCCTATCCTCATCTCCCAGGCCTCACTTCTTTACCTTTCCTCAGAGCAGAAAAAGAGAAGAGATCAGAGATAAGTTCTTTCAGCACTGTGACAGGTCTCAGATAAACCCTTTTCCCAGCGCTGAAAAGAATAAGGCTCCCACTGCTGGCCATGGAAAATGTCCCTACTTCAGCTGTTCTGCATGGACCAACTAAGAAGATGGGGCTGGGGACTGTGTGTGTGTGTGTGTGTGTGTGTGTGTGTGTGTGTGAGAGAGAGAGAGAGAGAGAGAGAGAGAGAGAGAGAGAGAGAGAGAGAGAGAGAGAGAGAGAGAGAGTGTCTTTGTGGCTGAGGGGGCGGCAGCGGTATGCATCCAAATTACTGTGTGAATGTGAATGATGCATGGCTGTGTGTACATGGCACATTTATCTGTGTGCATGGGTTGTAAGTTTCTGTGTGAAAATAGAAGGGGTACACACCAGCAGTTGATCCACCCACACTGCATAGTGGCCACACTCATTGCTGGCTTGCTGCCCTCAATGTCCCAGACTAGGCCAATTTATGCCACCGCCTTAAATCACAGTTAAGACTAACCACAGTTTGTCTGGGTTCAAACTTAATGATAGACCATGGTTCTAAATAGATGTTAAAGCATGCAATCTGCTCCTCATGGCCACGCCAAAGAAAGAAAAGTAGAGCGTGTGTATCAGAGGTTTCTTCCCATAATGATAACGATAGTTTGTCTGAAGTCTATGATCAAGGCAAACAAAGCTTCCAAATTCAGTCTGAACAAAGCCACAGTCTCCGTTAGTTATTGACTTTCAAGGCTAAGCACAGATGTGTAGTTTTCCGAACTGCCTGACTTCTTCACCTTTAAAATATTTATCCAGCTTGATAACTGTTTAAGTGTGATGTTTTCTTCTTTCCCCAAAACTTCTTCTCCACTTTCAGTTTGTAGAGGAAGTCAGAGTGACAGCAGCATTTCCCAATATGAGCAGCTGCTGGGGCTCCAGAACAGCATCAGAGGGCATGGGAGGAAACCGCTTCCTGCCCACCCTTTCTTACTGCAGATGATCCTGAAGTCTGCAGTATCTCCAAAGGCAGGAATTAAGGGCCTGTGTTTTTCCAAAATATGTAGTTCTGCCCTTCAGGCATAAATTCAGTGAGAAGCAAGAAGCCTTTTTGTCATATCTGAATACCAGGTTTGAATGAAATCCTAGCCATTGCAACTCCAAAGCAAAGGAAGATGCTGCTTCATTTTTCCATTATCCAGAAGCTCACCTGAAGATCTTAGATGCATTTGGTTTTCCACTTAGGAGAAGTAGCAATAGAATTTAGTCAAAACAAGCAGGATAAAATCTAACGAAGTCATTATATTGCAGTACATAATAAAGTATTCCAGTTTAAATGATTTACTAATGGATATGAATCATGTAGAAGTAACTGCACTGACCTTAGAAGGCCCAGTATTGTTAGGCAAAGCAAATGCACCAGCACATTCTACACTGCTAAAAGTACAAGCAGGAAAACAAGAGACAGTGCAAAATACGATACGGCTGAAAAAAGATATGTTTTATTAAGAAATGTATATGCTGTTGTTCAGCTAAGACGTTTTCAGGAATGACTAAAAATAGCTAAGAGGAGGAATAATTATAGTAATCCATGCAAGGAAAGGAAAGGAAAGGAAAACCAGATACCACTACTGAGAAACTAGATGGCCTGACAGATCAGTGTAGAACAAGTTGGTTCTATCTTCTCTATAATTTGTTTAAATTCTGTTACAATTTTATTTTTTGCCATATATCTTTAAGGTAGAAATTCCAAATGTTGAACAGTTCCTGATCAGTGCACACTAATACCACAATAAAGTTCATGGAATTTTTGTCCTTGAAATAACATTTAAGGAAAAAAGAAAGTTGATAACCCTTTCCACATGCAGTCACCAGCATGCACTTAGCTGGCTGGAACTGAAATTCTGATGCAATGTACTTTGTTTGAATGGCACAATAGTAGGATAAGTACTGTGGAACAGCTTGTGTCTATTTGACAATTTCCTGCATCTTCTAAAATTAACTATAGACTGCTGGTTGTGGCTAAACAATCTCTAAAAATTCAATGGCAGAGTTGAGAATGGTGGACCAACTGAAAGTAACTCACTTGAGATTCCAGGATTTGGCACTTGAGATTCCAGTTGACTACCATGGATAGACACAGTCAAA